GTGATTCAAAGGACAAGGGAGGAGTCGTTGAAGGGAGTATTTTCACCTGTGTCTGTGTTTGGTTTGCCCTGCTTGGATTCAAAACATTTGCTGCAATGCCAGAAGCATTCTGCTCCAACTGCTGACTCAGTTTTTTCTTCAAGTGCTTGGAGTGAAGAGATGGTGACCATTCCTGGAGAGTTAAGGACAATTAAATTATAATTAACTATTGAAAACAACATCACTCAGTTTTAATGAAATGCATATTTATATATCTACTCTACACTGTAATGATAATGAAAAATAATGACTCTTTCAAAGCTTTCATTTGAATGGTTGCCTACTATACCACACATACCAAAGCTGTGACTGATGGAAAGTTTGATGGCATCTCTCTGAGTACTGTGAGATTTTTTAAATCCCATAATTGCAGTGGTCTGTCCTTAATCACAACAAGAAAATATTGCCTGCAAAATAAAAGGCAAATAATCTAATAAAACTTAAAAGTTTGTAAAATAGGAAAAAGGATTCAATTAGGAGCTGCAGTGGAGACTGGGACCCTGTGGCAGTGAGTCTGTTTTTAACACTCATACAAAATTGAAAGTAATTATTACCTGAGTTGAGAAACCTTGAGAGCCTCAACAGTTGATTCCTCTGCTGCTTTACCAAGTTCAATAGGTGTTGTTTGACCTGTTATTTTTTTCAACAATAAACAACAATACTTATAATTGATATGTGGAAATAAAAATCTTGGTCAAGCAAAATACAATTCAGAAGCACATTCCTAGAACACTCAAGTATATTGACATCCTACCAGTTTTTATGCTGACCAGTTGAAGCTCATTTTTGGATGTGCTCCCTGAGGCCTGAGCCCAGGAGAAAAAGCTCTCCAAACTACTCCATGTAATCCCTCTGTAATGGAAACAACAAATATCTTTTATTATTTTAATAAAAAATTCCCTATACATTAATCCTTTACACCCTCACATTAGCATGCATATTACTCTCCACATTGTTCTCTATAAATTTCCTAAGGTATTGACAAGAATAATTTGTTTTATAATAAAGAGTTTCTTAGGGCAATGATCACTTCCTAAATTTTGCACAACTTTTGTGTTTGATTCAGCAGTGATACTGTTAGGAAAAATTAAATAGCATCCAGTCTGGATGGTCAGAGGGTTAGTCAGTAATTCCCATTGAGCTTGTGTAATTTCCTAGGAACTACAGCAGTAGACTTGTTTAAAACTAAGACATCACTTAACACTCCTAAAAAAAAATATCACAACAGTTAGCTTTTTCGGTGTATTTTTCAAACTGAATTTTTCTCGAAGTAGGTAAATTGTCTTACTTCACTGCTCCAGTGTGAATCGTATATTCTCTTGCAAGTAAGCCAGTACCCAGATTGAAAACTTGAATACAACCTTGGGTGTTTCCTGTACAAAAAGACAATTAGTAATCTTTTTAGAAATTGTTATATTGAGTATGTTCTATATATTAACCAAACAAAGTTGTAGCAAAACTCTACAATATGACATGTAATGAAGTCTCTTACCAACTGCTAACAAAGGCTTGTAACTCCCCCAATTCTTAGTAGTCAAGGGCGGACACATGACAGCACAAGTTGGAGGAGATGATACTGAGCTGGAAAGGGTTACCATGACAAACTTGTAATGAACAGAATTTTGAATGACATTTCCAGAGGTAAGAGGTGGAGGAATCACATCAGAAAGTGTCAAATTAGGATTGACATGACACTGCAGGCGTTCAGAGTCTGTGTTGCATGGTAGTGAAGCTTTCAAAGCTTCCTGTGACAAGACTGATGCTTCTCCTTGAAGCCTTTTAGCCTTTAATTCCCAAATAATCATTCTTCCATCACTAATCAAAAGGGCAACTTTCCGTTCACTTGATGGACAGCACATGAAGCCAAAGAGTCGGCTTGATTTGCTGAGACGCAGTGGATCTGACTGGCATTTGTTCTCATAGATTATATCTACAGATGAATTTACATCATTACTCCTTTCATCAGGTTCAGTGAAGTAAGGATTGTTCTCTACTCTTCTACGCACTCGCATGATCACACTGCCATTCTCATGTAAACACATTAGAACATCACGTTGTTGACAAGGGATGACCTGAAGAAAAGAAGGGCTGTTTCTCTCCAGACTGAATGAGCAAACTGCCTGGTTGATTTCCATGTCTAAAATCATTACTTCCCTTGGAAACAATGCTAAAAGATGATGATGAGCAGATGGAAGGTATGCAAGCTGAAGACAGTCACTCAAAGCCACACTTTCTTCTCCAGCTCTAAAACAGGAAAATGATAGGAAACAGAGTTTTTATAATCCAAAAGACATTTTTACCAAATGTATTATCCCCAGAAATTAGTTCCTGTTTCAATTATTCTCTTGTTCACAAATATACTAAGTATTAATTAATTTACTTAAAGGCTGAAACCATAACTGATACAGGACATGAAATTTCACTCTTACAATCTCTAACAGAGTTTTTGTAAATATGAAAAACGCAAATTGGAAAAAAAATACTTTTGGAGTCTAGCAATCATGCTGGGAAGAGAAAGAGTAGGGGGGGAGGGTTTAGGAACTGTAAACTTTCTTTCCCACTAGGAAAGGTACCTGAGGGCCCCTTTGGTTAAATACAACTTGACATGTTTGGTGAAACACTCCCATGGATAAAAAAGACAAAACATATAAATTCTACCTGTTTTTTGATTCACCTCCTCCCCATAGCCTCATCCTAGAGAGAGCAGACTTGGGTGTGGATTGTTTGGTTGCATTCTTGCTGTCTGGGCCAGCAGTTGGTGAGCCAACATAACCGCCACTAGGTGATGCAGAGCCAGAGCTTGTAAGGTAAAACTTACGCCCATTGCTTTCTGGGGCTTTGCCGATGGAAAAGTCATTGATGAAGAGAATCCAGTCCTGACACATCACTTAACAAGGTTAAGGCAAAGAAATGCAACTTAGTACCTTTTTCTTGGATGAGTTTTAGGAAAAAAATCCTCCTGAATATGTCCAACAAATGTGTTTCATAAACTCAGAAATACTGCTTTTTTTATTTTTATAGATTGAACTAATTACAGTTTAACTGATTCAAAGTGTTTGCTAGATATCAGTGATCACTCAAAAATATTTTCTGGCTGCTTTCCAGAATTCTCCCACTAGTAATTCTTGATTGCTTTTTTTTTCACTTTCCTCCTGCTTCTACCTATGGATTCTTTCAAGGAGAGCAAAAGAGCAATTCACTGGGCTCAGATGTTGTAATAAATTGTGACATAGCCTTATTAGTGGGTTAAGATACCATTTGTAAAGTCTGACCCGTATTTTCAATGTAGTATGCACTTTTTAAAGATAAAATTTCAACTTACAGGTTACATTTGAAGGTATAAAAGGATCAAAAGCAAAGCAGAGCAGAGCTTCTTGAAAAGTCTTTTTCCACAATTTTGTGCCAGTATCAGCATTCCAAAGGATCATTGATGATGGAGCATGGAGAACTGCTAAAAGATCATGACAGGCATCTTGAGTTGCAAGCCATTCTAGATCAAGAATTGGCCTGTTTCCATCTGAGAACTCAGTCACTGCAGTCCCTTGAGAAATGTCCCAGACAATGACGTTACCAGATGTATCTCCAGATGCAAGACGAAGTATATATGGAGAATTACTGTCATGATGGTAATTATCACGTGCCCATTTCACCTAAGAATGAATGTGGGAAAGTTAAAAACATCTTTATAAATAAAACAATTTTAATAAACAATAAAAACATGAATCAGGAGAATTAGATAGTCCTAAAGATCTAAATTTACCTACCTTTGTGCAAGGGGCAGTGTGCAAGGTTAGCACTTGAATAACCTGTCAAGAAAGAAAAAAGTGACGAGAATATTAGACAATTTAAATACAGAAATTAGTTTTCAAGCCACAGATCTGAAATAGAACGATTAGAAGATAAACTGATTATCCTCACCTGAACTGATTTGGGATCAAAGACAACTACAAAGTTTTGACAACCATAGGCAATCAGTGACTGTCGTCCCCTTATAAACCAAACAAAAAACAACAAATTCTTCAAATGTATTTGATGAAATGACGCATTATCAGAACTAGCCAACAAAATAATATGCAAAGTTAATAGGGGAAATTTCAGTCGAGATATTGGAAAGGGGTCTATCTTTAATTGCTCGCAGTTTACTTTTTTCATCATACTGTCATAGACAACACAAGATTGTTATATGAATCTAATGGGATAGGAAGCAAACACTGTTAAGAGGAAACAATTATAATAAAGAAATTGGTCCCTCGCCCATCTTTTTCGACATCACAGATTCACATACCAATGCTCGAGCTTCGAGAGTTTCTTTATACAAAAGTTACGAGGAACGTCACTGTGTGCGATTGATTTTGAATAATGGGCTCAATGTGTTCAAATTGTTCAATGGAGGAAGAAACCAGGCCAGCAGACTTACCAATCACAAGCTCCTCTGTTATGACTATGAAGAGCACCAGGCAAAACTCGAGGCGACAGCTTCATGGTAGTTAAAATCTCAATCAGTTATATCGGAATCCAAACTTGCACAATGACTGGGTTTTGTAGAAAAAGTTTGATCTAGACCCAGTAATCCTTAATTATACCCCAAAGGCACCCCTTATTTCCGCCATTGTAGTCCTTGTTTCGTATTTGCAGTACATTATATATGTTCATACAGAACAGATCAGCTGTTTACTCCTCAGACCGCTGGTTTGTAAAAAGCGAAAATCATAATTATCTTTAGGGAGGGATGAGAGGGTCAGCACAAATGCTTTCATTTATTTATTTTCTGAATGTAGTATAAAGAACGATTTAAAAAATATTTCAAGAAAAAATTTACCTAGTTTTAAAAACAAATAAAGGCAGAGAAGCAGCGTGGCAATGGTCATTAAAGTTAGACCATCATCTCTCTATACCCTGGAAGAGATTGCTTTTTACTATTAGCGATGGCGCCAATTTCTAAAGCCCTGGGACTAAATGTGAGAAGCGTCAACATCTGGCTGCTGGAGGGGTCACTTCTCAATACTCTACAATGCCAGTAGTTTATGCAAAAAATATCACCATATTATTGCCCTATAAAAGGACAGAAGGTCTTTTGTCGCTTCTGGTAATCCTGCAAACCTGCGATTGACATGGTAAGCTCAAATCATCGCCTTGTATGTGTTAGCTTAGAATTTTTCAGGATAACCTTTGATTATGGCGAAGGGCAGTTAAGTCAACTTTTTTTGAACTATTCCTTCACCGATCCTCTCTATATGTGTAACTCCATATTATTTTGTTGTATGACATAACGATTTCGTGAAATACTTCTTAATTGGCCTCTTAGTAATCCTTGGGGAGTTCATACCTCAATGGTAGTTAAGTACTTGCAATTAGCGGGTTAAGAGCAAAGTAACCATTGTACTTTGTTCAAATTCCTTTCAGCGTTTATTCATATTTTTTTTCAGGCGTTGAAAGCCATTAATTAGCACCTGGTACCATCTGATTAAAATCACTGAAAATATTTTAAAGAGTGATCGTGTATTAAAGGTTGTCAACAGCAAAATACTTTTGGTGTTCGTTTTTTACGTCCTAAGAAAATTTTGTTAGTCATTTTAGAACAGAGGTTATAACAGACATGAATTTTATTGCTGCTTTTCGTTCACAAATTACGAAGCAGTCCTTGGAAAGTTCAGCTGATGTGGTCTCATAACAATGTCAGGTAAGACTTGATGAATTTATCTATCATGAAGTGGAAACAAAAAATCAGAGTTCCATACGAGGAATTGAAATTCAAAGCCCTTCAGTCTTTTAGATGCTCTTCCTCTAAACCACAGAGTAAAAGCTCACTCAATACATGTAAACCTCTCCACAGCTGCCAACATTTCTTATTTCATGTGAAAACCTCCCCACATTGGCCAGGTTTCAATGGTCAACTAGTCTCACCCTAAGAAGAAATGACGAAGGTTATTTTAATATCCCTTAAAAAGTTTAATAATGATCCCACTAGATAAGGAATATAGTAGTATTTAAAGTATTTGTAGACTTTTGTGTCTCTAGTTTTTTCTTAGTTTGATATTTCTCAAACAAGTGGTTGTTTTTCTGTTTCAGTATGTTCAATCTTTATCTTGTATTCATAATGATAGCCTGAAACTGCAGAAAATAAAATGGAAATTGTTTTGAAAATTTCAATTGAATCAGGGCATACTTTTTAATCATATAATTTAAAGTGAGATTATAAGTTGATTTTGTTCTTTATTTTCAATCAGTTTGTTGGTGTAAACAGGAACTGACAATTAGTTCCTTTTTTTCCTTTCTTTCCATACACAGCTCCTGAGAAGCCAGCACCTCCTGTAGTTGGAAAAGTTACATTCAACAGCATTGAGTTGTACTGGGATCAGATAGCAGGTACTGAAGACAGCTCAGGAGGGAGGCTACGTTACTGTGTACAGGAAGAAGAAGAGGAGGGACGAAAAGGATTTGGAAATGTCTACAAGTATGGAGCCATTTAATTTTTTATGATGGTTTATAGAGAATTTTTCAATTGAGTTTCAGAAGTAAGCTGCAATTGCTTTGCCTTTTTTAAACTTTGCCTTGTCATTGATTCAGGAAACTTGCGCCACTCCTCAAACAATTAGATGCAAAATGAAAACTAATAACTGCTTGTTTGATTGGCTTTAGTTTGAGTTCTAACTGGCTCTTAAAAGTATTTTCCCTTCTTCTGAATGGCCATGGTGATTATTTTGGTTTTAATGTTAAGGCACCTAATTGAAGAGCACTCTATATCTTAAATTGGTTTATGATTTGATGATTGTCTCATTGCCTCATGCCTCAAGCAACTTTGACTGTAACCAGTGCGTGGGTTGTATTGAATTAGTTTCATATGATATTTACTGGTAGTGTAGATTTGTTATGTTAGTAATAGAATTCTAATCATTTCAATGAAAATTTTTATTGTCCCTCAGTGGCTTTGCTAAAAGCAATGAGTTCAAAGGCCTGGAGCCAAGCAAGACTTATCGCTATCGTCTTCGAATTAGTAATAATAATGGGAACAGCCCTTGGAGTCAGGTTATATCTGTTACTACTACAAGTAAGTAATATGTCTTATTGCTCTCACTTTTGTCAGTGTTAAGGGCATTATCTGTGACTTTTGATCTTAAACAGAAGATAATATTCATTTTCTTTATGCAGTGTTTTCCCTTATTTTAAGCATGACAGGTAAAATAAATTTTTAAACCGGTAAAGCAATCCTTTTACCTGTTGAATTTTCAAGAATTCTAAGCAATTTTAGATGGTAATAAGAGGTACTACAGGCAGCAATTACAAGGTGTTCAAAACATTTTGAAGATGTAATCTTCAACTCAGAGAGTTATACTTTTGTTGACAACTCACTGGATAACTAATAATCTTCTTTAACCACTGATATTCCTTTAAATAAGGGAGTTTTGATTTTAATAGTTAAAGTAGCTGATAATGAAAGACTTGTTGATAAATTGTCATCTGTACTGCAAAAAAGGAAAATTATACACTGGAGTGACAAGTAATAAACTCTTTTTTTGTTTTGCAAAGAAATCCCACTTTCTGGCCGTGACCTTCACAATGCAGTCCTTAACTGGGAAGTTGAGAAAGTGACATCAATTCTTGAAGAAAGGTTGGTGGACTCTCCTATTAACTTTCAAAGTGGCTCATGATCATGGCATTTGAAAAATTGAAAAATTTTGTGAAATCAAGTGCAGTAAATTTAAGTTTGCTCTTTTTACTCTTGTATTTTACTAGTACTGAAACCATAGTTGATTGTCCTAATGCATTTGGAATGTCTCCTCTGATGATTGCTTCTCAAAAGGGTTACACAAGGTTTGTGTTCATTCACAGGTGATCAGATACTATAATGAGTTATTGAAGAAATGTTTGCCTGGGAGCCAAAGCATTTTCTTTGAAAAGTAATGTACTTGAGCCTACTGGCTCACCCAGCTGGAGATTATCTGAGTCTTTTGAGCATGAAGCCACTAGGAGTATTACTACTTTCTTCTGGGTAGGATGCAAGTTACCCCCAGCCTTTCATCAGGCTTCCCTGACAATTGGTCAGTATCAATTTATACTCCTGGGGGGAGAGATGCACCGTGAGTGTGCAGTGTTTTGCCTGAGAACACAACATATTGCAATGGCCAGGCCTCAGACCCAGGCCTTTTGGTCCAGAGTCCAACACACTAACTTCTATGCTACAGTGTCTCCCATTTTCTGTGAAAGGTTTTGATAAAAGTACTTCCTTAAACTGGGATATTTTCCAAGAGAGTTCATTCATTCCTCTTCCTAAATAACTGTTCTTATAAATAACATTAATTTTTATAATTTATTGGTAACTTTTCTTTTATTCAGCATTATTTCAACTTTAATTGCACACAAAGCTGATGTCAACTACTCCAACACAAGTGGAAAAACTAGGTGATTTAATGATTAATTTAACAGTTAGAGCCAGATCTGATTCATTAATGAAACAGCTTGATATATAAATGATATATGATATATGCTTTATAAAGTATGTTTTTAAAGCTACAATCTATATAAAAATTAATTTGTATTTAATGCTTTTTCTTAAAAATATTTTAGTATGATGTTGGCCTGTGCTGGTGGTCACATCAAAGTAGCAGTTATGCTGTTTGGAAAAGGAGCGTTTATAGATAGCAAAGACAATGGTGGCTCTTGTTGTCTTCATTGGGCAGTGGATGGTGGTAACACAGCCTGCATACAATGGCTGTTGGACAATGGAATTGATGTATGACCATTCTTGTATCAAATAGTCATTTTATTTCAATGCCAAGTTGTGTTTGTTTGATGTCAGATTTTTCATTGTTTCATTACTGTCCAGTAAAAGATGTGCATCCTGTCCAGTTCTAGTTTTGCTTGCAGATAAGGGGATGCTTTTTTTTTTTGTTTGGAGACAAGTGTAAGGTGAGTGCCAAGGGTGAGTCATATAATAGAGGAGGAGCTGAAAGATCACATTGTTTCTACTTTTATAACTTCTTACTGACCCACTTCTCCACAGTATGACTCCCCTTATTCACTCACCTCGCACCTTGGCTGAAAAAGGCAATAAAGCTATACCTACCATCTCTCTTATTTTTGATCTACAAACATTATGCTATTGACATTGCTGATCATAGCAGTATGCAGGACGTGTATCATATGAACTTGGCAATAGATCTTGCTCACAGTGGAGTCTGCGGCTCAGTGGTAGAGCATTGGAGTGCAGAATCCAAAGGTCTGAGGTTTGATTCCTCATGGGGACTCAGAATTTTGTCTTTGTCCCACACTTGTGACAAGACAAAAAAAAATCTTTCTTTATTTCTTTACTGAGTTCAAAACCTACCATCTCTCTTATTTTCTATCTAAGCTATACTTGTTCTGCATGTTGGAAATAAGGCCCTGTAAAATTGCAGTGTTGTTTGTCCAACCCCGACAATTTTTTCCACCATTGGAAGGTCTACCTCGCCTGCAAACAGCACTTCCTCCATCCTTCTCTCTGATGCAGCTCCACAACCAATTATAATTAATACATAAACTTACCAGCTCTAATTTACCAATGGAAGCATTGGAGGGTAATTTAAATGTCATAATTTTTTCAACAGGTTGATATCGAAGATGATTTTGGTTGTTCACCTTTAATAAGACTTGGTATGCAGTGGTAAATAATTCACAGTTTACATTTTCTGATATTTCCAATTTTGATTTGCTATAATCTCATTGTTAAAAAGTCTTCAATCAGCAGAAAAAGGGTTGAGTCACTTTTAATATGCATAGATGTCAATGTTAGACTCATTACTTCACTCATCCAATCAATCCACTCCAAAATTCAGAATCACACAGAATATGACGATGTTAGCTGAAAGATCCCTTCAAATTTAACCTTTTGTAATTCCCGAATTTATGTTGCAGCCTCTTTGAATGGAAATGTTGAGGTGGCCAAGATTTTGATTGAAAATGGGGCAGATGTGAACAAAAAGGACAAGATAAAGAAATCTGCTTTGATGGTAATGTTATATTTCTCAGCTCAATGTAGATTTTTGAAAAATTAATTTTGAATAATTAATTTTGAATAATTTAACATTTGTTACGTTTTTTCAGGCTGCTGCAGTGGGTGGTAACGTTGATTTGATTAAGCTACTGGTGGTAAAAGGGGCAGATGTTTATGCTGAAAATGAGGTTTGTAAGTACCTTTAGTATTAAGATTGTGTAGTTAGGAGAGATTGTGCAAGAGCGAGGAAGTACAAATATTTTTTTCTCTTTATTTACTGTGTAGATATCAACTTGCTTTGGTCAAAACATGGCATCTGTCATGGATTTCCGTATTGCTCTATTTTCTTTCAGTATTATTATTTTTTTACATTCCTTGCTTCACCTTTTTTTACTTTCTTTTTAGTATGGACATAGAGCTGTTGATTTTTCTGAGACGTTTGGCAGAAAGGTATGTCTTTATGGTGGAATGTAGGCTCATACAATTACAGTGGTTCAGATATTTTTGTTCCTTCTTGCTCTGACGAAGGGCTAACGCTAAAAACGTCAGCTTTAGAAACTCTTTACTGTTGATAAAACCAAACTATCTTTTTCCCTCTGGTTTATCAGTGCCTGTTTCGTGTTTTTCTTTTTTGCCGAGGTAATATTTAGTAGTTTCTGTCAAGTTACAAGACGTTTTTTAAATAACAAAAATGATTACATGTCTCGAGGATAACCGGTCAAGTCGCCCGAGAGTCATCTCGCCCGGAGTCATGCCCGAAAGTTTAGTAATGTCGCCCGAAAAAAAAAGTCAAGTCGCCCGAAGAAACAAATACTAAAAAGATCAGAATTTCAAACTGTAAATAGGCAATAACGTTGAGAAATTTTCTATCACTAAAGCGCTCTTTGTTTCAGACAACACCATGAAGATTCTTAGAGCGTTGTTCGTTCCTAACAACAAAGGGAAGCGTTCTCCGTTTCTAACAAAGAAATGAAGCGTTGTTCGTTTGGTATGGGCTCGTTTCTTACTCACGGACATTTCGTAAGCTTGAGAAACTCTTTCTCGTTTCTAAAAATGCCACGAAGACTTTGACTACACAGAAATCGATTATATGGTCATGCAGAACTGAAATATGTTTGAGTAACGGCTCTAAAAGCGTTGTTTGTTTCTAACAACAGAGGGAAGCGTTGTTCGTTTCTATAACAACAAATGCACGGATGCAGCGTAACATACAAGTAAAGTTCTGTTGTGTCTATTTGTGACTTTCTTAACAATAAAAGATGAAAACACCTGGTGAACGAATGTCGATTGTCGCGTTCGACAAGTCGGTAAAAGGTAAAGCGAGTAACATACAAATAAAATTGTGTTTTTGTGAACTTCGTAACATTAAAAATTAACTTGTTGCCTTGCATAAGGTAAGTGTGATATTTTTAAGGTAACAGTCTATTGTTTATGCTTGTGACTTTTTTCACAGTAGTAGTCTGATAGCATTGCGTCGGCAGAATAGGCATAAATTATGTAGTTATACTCTGGCGGTCGCATGTATATTTTGATCCGATCAAAGTATATATGAAGAAGGTAATGCTAGCTACGATACGAATACGAACTGATCAAAATGAGCATTCACCCTTGCATTGAGTGTGATGATGAAGTTAGACCACGTCAACAAGCCCTACAGTGCGACGATTACGGTTGATCACATGGCCTTTCTGACCATATGATCGATTTCTATGTCAAAGTCTTCATGGCTTTGTTAGAAGCCAAGAAAAAGTTTTTCAAGCTTACGAAATGTCCATGAGTAAGAAACGAGTACATACCAAACGAACAACACTTCCCTTTTTTTGTTAGAAACGGAGAACGCTTCCCTTTGTTGTTAGAAACGAACAACGCTTTAAGAATCTTCATGGTGTTGTCGGAAACAACGAGTGCTTTAGTGATAAAAATTTCCTACGTTATTGCCTATTAACAGTCTGAAATTCAGATCTTTTTAGTATTTGTTTCTTCGGGCGACTTGACTTTTTTTTTCAGATGACATAACTAAATTTCGGGCATCATGACTCAGGTTTCGGGCGAGATGACTCTCGGGCGACTTGACTGTAAACCGTCTCGAGAGATAACTACATCTCGGCTCATATAAAATCTGATTTCACTGATTTTATTTCGTTCATCTCCGTTACAGGAAGTCGCTAGTTATCTTAAAGAAGTAATGGAAGGAAATGAAACGGATGTGAAACCCGAAAAAGAAACAGAAGATTCCGAGGACACTTGAAATCATCAGTGGATAACTTAGTGCAAATTCCAATTCGTTCCATCCAACCGGTCAGAGTGAAGATGCAGTTTCAACAACCAACCATGCGCATTCTTAATTTTAATCAAGTGACTTTTCGCGTATCTTTCACCGATTGCCATTTTTTTGTGTTCGGTTTTCTAACCAGCCTTTCGTGCTGTTTGTGAACACGATCTGATGTTTGGTTTTGATTCAACCATTTGTCGAATTTTATAGATCACGATTTAAGTTTCGTAAATAAATCACTTGAAAGGTCAGCAATTGTTTCTATTAACTTCGTTTCTTAACGTACATACTTTACTTCCAGAGGTTTTTTTGTTGTTTTCAAGATGCCAAACAACAATTCCCCCCCTCCGCAATGTCGTAAATTACACACCTTGGTTCTCCGGTCATGAGACAAAAAACCTCTCTTCTGTAAAAAGAAATATTGCTTTTCACAGAAGTCGACCTTCGGAACAGTTCTGTTGTCTCATTCAACTGGAGGCTTCGTCATCAAGCAGTGTCTCAAAGGATTTACAGATCGAGGAAGCAAAATACTCCAGCGCTCAGCCGTTTCTAAAGGTGTTATATTTATGCGTGTGTGAAATTTATTCAGGAAGACCATTTACGTAATTTGTGGCAACAAGTGGACTTTGAGACTCGCTAATTATTTTTGAAGTAACGTCAATTGTGTTCGTCTCTTGATGGAATTGGTTTGTTTGTTTTCCTGTTTACTCGAAGCTAAGGCTTGGTCATAGTTGCTATAATTTCCAAGTTTCTTGCGGCAAAACCGCGGTCTGTGACCCAATTCCGCAAAAATCGCGTTTTTTCCTTCTTACTTGTTAAGGCAAGACAGAAGAATTATTCAGTCACCTTACTTCTTACGCAAACCTTTTAATTTGTATATTTTGTCCTCAGGTATTAATAACACTCTTATAATTTCAAGTCTATTGGGAGTCATCTTCTCTAAATGTATGATCCTAAATAGATACTTACAAGCGATCTTATGAAATACGGAAAATTACGTCCGTCGTTTCTCTTGTAGTAGATAGGAATTCTAGCTACATTTCTACCACGAAAGTTTTGTGATGTTGTTTGCTAGTTACGCACCGTTAATCGAAGTTCCGCCTTTCAATTTCCATGATATTATCGAGAATGCATTCTGTGTGATCGCTCACCAATAAGTCCACCGTATCTTGAGAATAAGAAATTTTTTTTCCATAATCTGTACTTACCATTTTTAGGGGAAGAATTATCACTACTTTTAAAATCTTAAATATTGTGAAAATGTACATTTGTACGATTACGTAATCATTACGTCATGAACAGCAGATATTGATCATGCTAAAAAAGTGTCGCTAACAAATATTTTTGAGACGATAAAATGAAACTTACTAGGCCACAAAGTTATCGTGTATTTTTAGTTGGAGGAAAGAAGCAATTGTGTTTCGGTAACTTTTCAACTAGCTTCCACAATTGTTTTTAACTAAAACTTCCGCCGCTCGTGTGGCTTCCATCCAAAAACTCTTCGTCACGTTCCCTTTGTCTCGGTATATTGAGCAACCTGATTGGCTATTTTTACAGATTCTCTTTTTTTCAGTGGATGATACACGTCACGTGACACGTGAGCTAACTAAGACTGTGCAATATGGCGGGTGGAATTTAACTGAGTACAAGATAGTAAGAAACTCGCGGACAAACAACGAATTTTTAGGGATTTACTGCAACTTTAAGGCTGGAGTCCATTAGTTTTCCTTGCGTTATGGATGATTCAGAGTATGAAAGCCTACCAACGGAAAAGGTGACGGTACATCTTGCCGCGGGCGCTATGGCAGGAGTTATGGAACATTGTGTAATGTACCCCGTGGACTGCGTGAAGGTACGATCGATCTACGAGTTGAGAATTCTAAAAATCAAACGTAATCAAATCGAACAATTCACATGGGTAAAACATGGGTTTTCTCTTCAATGAGCGCGGGAAACGTATCGGCTGTCTATCTTAAAACATGTAGGCTGGTCTCGATCAGTACTCGTGGCCTTGTGAAATTCAACATTAGGTCACATTGGGTGGGTGGAATGTTTTCGCCAATTTTAGTTTTACATCTGTAAATCGTAGGTATAGCCTTTAACACATAGTTCACTTTTAATGTTCGGCAAGAAATCTAGAACTTTCATTTTTTGACACCGTCACTGTGGATGATATTGGGTCATTAGTTTAAGTTTTAACCAGAAATACTCCCGCAGATAATTAAAGGCTTTGCAATTATCGATTACGTCGTTTAGATCGTCGTCAGCTCAAAAAGTTGTTCTTATAGGTCGAATTTGTAAAACTTTTTATTTACATCTTTTGGGGTTTAAATTTCCCTCAATAAACAAGTTAGCCAGCTTCGGGAAATGCCTGTCGTTGCTGGCCAGATTGCAGGGGAAATGTTTGCTCTGTAAGGATAGCATTGATACTGCAATATTGGACTTAACACGCATTCAAAGAAGTGGGAATTAAAAGAACATTACACTTTTGTTATGATATAGCACACCTTTAAACAATCCAGTTTATACAGAAGCATGTCTATTTGTATTGCAGATAACTGCATGTGCTAACAAATTAATCACGATAACAAAATAGTAGAGTCTATGTTCCGATGCATTTAAGTGTGTTTTGGGTGGGACTCAAAGTCATTTTAGTTGGAGTTGATAGGCAAGGGTTGTAACTACTCTGACAAGAGCTCAAAATATATTTATGCTGGGGAACATAAACTGTATTGCAATTATTGTCACTTGTGAGGGTGCCAAGAAATAAAAACTGAAAAAAATATCAACAAAACAGTCTGAACAAGTACCTTGTATTCAAACTTCTTGTTTATTTTGGAAGTTGGATGAAAAAAAAAAGTTTGAAATTTGCATCAGTGTGAAGTTTTGACCATCATGTAAGAGTTGTAGAAAACTGCAAAAAGTTAAAGTAGTGTTTGTGCTGTTTTGAGTCTGGATTATGTAAAATCATATTTGTCACTTAGGTTTCGCTCTTTTTTTTCTTTTTTTCTTTTTTTTTTTAAGAGGAATGAAACTAATTCATATGGACGGCTTTACATGGTCAAGTACTCAAAATTTAGCGGTGGAAAAAACTGATATGCCTCCTTTTTAATTACAGACAAGGATGCAGAGTTTGCGTCCACATCCAAATGCTAGTTATAGAAACATTGGGGATGCTCTTACAACTATGGTTAAAAGGGAAGGACTTTTTACCCCACTCAGGGGAATGAATGTGGTGGCAATAGGAGCTGGCCCTGCACATGCTCTGTATTTCAGCACTTACGAGGCCACTAAGAAGTTTCTGAACGGGAACCAAGACACTTACAATCCCTTTTCACATGGTAGGTATCTTTGTAGGCATTTGAGAATGTTAATGATACACCTATCAGAGCTGAAGAAAATTTAAACCTAGTGAAAGTGAAGAGAAGGCAAGAGATAACAATGTTTCCTCTGTATTACTGGAAGAAAATTGTATATTCTGCAAGTTGATTCTTAAAAAGTTAATCCCCTTGTCTATTTTTTGATGGTTGTGATTAGTTATTTGGTGTATTTTCAGCTTTTCAAAAGAAAACAAAGGCAGTATTTTCATTTTTTTGTTGGAGATTTGGAGAGCTTGAAAGACCACTTTCACATAATTTGGCAACAAAAATATTTTTGATCCAGCTTGTCTAATATATTTGAAGAATTTCCCTTTCTTGATTATTTTGCTCATGGATTCAAAGTGAGGCAGTCCAAAAGGGAAACATTTACTTCATATAACTTATTCAGGTTCTGGCTAGTAGTTAGCGTAAGGTATTTTGGAGAACAGTTGTTCCTTTTCTTAAGTTGCAGCAACACCAGATGATATCTGAGAAGACATTCCAGATATGGTTTGCTAACATGTAGTTAAGCATGTTCATAAATTTATGCATAACTTCCTAATCTGTAGCTTTTATTGTTTCTTTTTCTTGGGTAGATTTTTACCTTTTTCTTGTCATTTGCTTGGTAGAGGGAGATGTTACTGCTTGGTTATTGGAAAATTTTGGTCATTACTGCATTATATGTACTCTCTCAGTTCTATAGCAAAATGCATGCTCATCATTTGGCCTTGAACTTAACTGATAAAGTAATGTGGCTACAAAAGAAGAATTTCTCTCTTTGTTTTTCTTTCTATTTTATTTTTCATTGTTTCGAACTTTGAAATTCTTGTTACCTCAAATGATTGTGGATTGAAATTGTTTTTGGAAAAAAAAAAATTGTCAAGCAAACTTGAAATATCTTATGTTAAAGAAAGATCATCTGTCAACAGACATTAACTGGCTTTTAATATATTTTCCTCGTAGGTCTGGCTGGTATTTGTGCAACAGTATTTCATGATGGTGCCATGAATCCTATAGAAGGTGTATCTAGACAGTGTTTCTTCTAATTCATCACTAGTTTTATCCCTCACCACCTTTTAATACCCATGCAACATAAAGTCACTGAAAATAGCTTGAAGCAATCTGTAATCATTTTATTTAATGTAACTCAAGAAGATAGCTATATTTGAATGGTGATGACTCCAGTCAACAGGTCTCCAATTCTATTTTAAGGTGAAGCCAGTTCACCATCCAGTTGGTGATGTGGCACTCTCTTTGATAACTATTATTTAGCTCGGGAAGATTCTGGACAGCCATTCTGCTGCTGGGCAGATTACACACATAATCATACAGTTAACTATTGGCCCTCCATTATTTAGCATTTGTTTGTACATACACAATACTATCTTAAGTGTTGCCATACAGTACATAGATACTAACACTGTATTTCTCTTCTTTTGTGGTGTCAAATCAGTGATCAAGCAAAGAATGCAGATGTATGGGAGTCCATATCATAATGTTCTTCATTGCATAAGGACTGTATTTCGTGAGGAAGGATTCAGAGCCTTCTATCGCAGTTACACAACTCAGCTTTCAATGAATATACCTTTCCAAACTTTACACTTTACTGTGTATGAATATGCGCGAGAGACACTAAACCCTTCGCGTGGTTATGACCCAAAGACTCATGTGATAGCAGGGGCAACTGCGGGAGCTGTTGCAGCTGCCATAACCACACCACTGGATGTAGCAAAGACGTTACTTAACACCCAGGAGAGGGAAGCTGTTTGCTTAGTAAGTAAACAAGAAGGACATGTTTACTTAAATGGAATGGTTACCGCTTTCCGCTCTATTTACAGACTTCGTGGCTTCTCTGGTTATTTCCAAGGAGTTCAAGCTAGAGTGCTTTATCAAATGCCATCATGTGCTATTTGCTGGTCAGTTTACGAGTTTTTCAAACATTTCTTGCACCTGACTGAGAAAGAGACTACTGATTATGAACTCACTGTGGCTTAAAAGGATGGGCATGGAGAAATCACAACAGCAGATTCTTTTATCTGCAGATATGAAAAGGTAGTTATCAGTAATCACATAGAGTCTTCCATGGAATGCCTTAATCGACTTATTAATGAAGATGGATTTCTTGGCTGCAGCTGGTTTGCCAGTTTTCATATATGTTAAGGAGACTACAGCATTATTGAAAGTTTTAAACCACCTTGGAAGGAATACAGAGTACTTGGATTCAGTGGTTCCTTGTATTGCTGTGGCTTTTTAATGTAGTTGAAAGTCAAACTCAAGATAGAAGGAAGGAATTTTGTCTAAATGATGATGTGCCAGTTCCTTCATTCTATTGCCTTGTTGTAGGTTTAAAATGTAGATGAGAAAGTTAAGGAGAGGAATGTCGGCTTCAGTGTTATTATGCCACTTCCTGCCTCACTGGACAGTTCTACATAATTTGGAAGCAGTGTAGTTTTACTGCTGATGGTAGTGTTTGAGGTGTTTATGGAAGATCATGTGATGCATTTTAAAACTCTTAACAGTGCCTTTAGGGTATGGAATGAAGTAGTTTATTAAGAGTATAAAACCGAAAAAGGAAGTTAACCATGCACCAGTAGATTAATTCAAATTGTTGATACATTAGGGAGCTGCAAATCTTATGCCAATGTTTATTTTTACATGGAAAGTATATCCATGTGTTTGCCATGACAAGGCAAATATGATGATAGTAAGACAGTGTTATAATGTTTGAATTTTGGGGTGGCTGCTCTTCAAAGAAGAATTTGCAGTTTCAGTTTTCAGCCATTTCTTGTTGTTAGAGGGGCACAGAGCTTGTTGCAGTTAAGTAAGATAGGACTACAGACTTTCTCTGCAGGGTTTTGTGACCTCTTCTGGGCAGCAAGAGCTTCTACCAGTCTTGCCATTTCACTGGTATGAGGTATCTTAATCATTTATATTATGGCATGGAAACAAATCTTGAAAGGGCTGTGTACGTTTATACATATATATATATATATATATATGTATGTATATATATATATATATATGAGCAGAAGTCAAACTCGGTCTCACAGTGTTTGCCAGTTTCACTCTGAAAAGGTGTAGTTAAAGATAAAGATTTGTATTGTGAATGATTTTAGAATAAAATTCAGCTCTTTCTCACTAAAATGCATTGTTCTCTATTGATAATTTGTCGCCTTGGAACCTTTGAAGAAAGGGCTTCTTGAGTGGGTGATCATTTCCTGTATTTTCACAACCTTAAAACTTGATTCAGTAGTGATAATGATGAAGAAACCTGGATGCTAGTCACTCCCTAGAATAAAGGATATGGTAAATACTGCCTGGCTGGTTCAATCAATTATGAACCTATATGGCTGAAAAATTGTGGAAGTAAACATCGGTGGGGACCTGGATGAGGCAAGAAGGCAACAGAGGACTGATGTTTCTCTCCCTAATCCCCTTAAATATTTCCCTTCCTTTTCCTGCTATATTCCAATGGGAAATAGGAGTGTGAGGGTGAAAAGAATGAAGGGGACACTCTTTTGCTCTCCCTTAGAGGTGGACAGTTACTAAAGACTTGTAGGGTCTTGGTGTTTAAATCATCACTCCAATATTAGCCCCTTCAGGTAAGATATCTTTTCTTAACTGCACAAACTATTTACTGGCATTAAGCTGGTAAAAATATGTCAATTTAACCTATTTGCTTTCAGAAAATTACATGGCTCTATCTTCCCTTTGCATGAATGCCTGACTTTAAAAATTGTTCAAACAACCCCACATGACAATACCATGAAAAATTGTGTCAAAAAGTTGGAAATGCCTTTTTTCTTTATTTTACACCTTTCCTTGTTACTGTTATGCTACAAGTTATATTCTTTAAAAAGAATTGCTAAATTTAGGGAGAGAGTTCATTTTCCTGTGCATTAAGCAGTACAGAACAAATCTAGCCAGGGTTCCTGAGTATAAGGCTCTCTATGGTCTTTTTTTGCATGTTTTTGTGGTACTCTCCCGTTAACAGGACAAATGTTTTTGTTCATCAGAATATTTGGAATTAGGCATAAGTAAAATATTAACAATATTTGGCATTTAAGTTTCAACAATTTTATGGCATAGGTCATCTTGTGGGGAGAATCCTGTGTTTATCAGTATTCTCCACTCCTACCTAGGGAGAGGACAGGTTCCTCTGGAAGCTACCCCAAGCCCAGTTTATAATTAAACATTGTCAGAGTTAACCACTTGCTACAAGGTGTTATGATGGCAGTACTTCCTAGCTAGTTATTATCGGGAAGGACAGAGATGATCATTCCATATCTTGGCCAGCGATATTCTCTTGGGAGGACAAGCTGAAAAAAATGTGACACTCAGCCTAAGTCATCATAAAAGATTTCTCCTTTAGAGACAACACTTTTAAATTAAATAATAATTGAAAAAAACAGCCCTAAATATTTGACACAAGGATACCTCATTGGGCCTTGTTAAAACATCCAGGTCTCTGTCAAGTGTTTGTAGGAAGTCCTCAGTTATCAAAACCTGATAGACGAAGTAGAAAAAGAATACACTGACAAACAATACTGACTTGAACAGAAATGATCTAGATCTCATTTTCTAGCCTGTATGATTACGCTGGACATGTTAATGGTAATAAATCAGTTGGGAAAGAAAATTGCGATTAGCAACCAAGCTCTCAAATGTAAAAAGGCTGACTACAGTATCCAATTTCTCCTCACAATATCACTTTCGAATCAAACACCCAGGTTTGCAATAATAAAGGAAATGATCTCAAATTTAAAGAAGCTCTTAATTGCTAAACAAATTCTTTATGTTAGTCTCATGGGGAATGTACAGGTGTATATGGTACAGTATGGAGAATAAACATGCTGATGTCAGAATAAAAGGTGTTACCACCCAGGCATTTCTTTAATCCTTTAACCCCTCAGAGTGACTGGTGTCTAATTTCTCCTTACCATATCACTACTGTATCAAACATTAGTGTCATGAGAATAAAGGAAATGATCACCAACTAAAGTAACTCTTGATTGTTGAACATATTCTCCCTGTCAGCATCTTAGTAAATGTACAGAGAACAGTATGGAGAAAATGAATACTGATGTTGGGGTGTAAAGGGTTAACTCAAGCTCCCACAGTCAATTTTTTTTCTTCTCTCCCTTTCTTCCTTTTGTCACAAGACTTACAGATCTACTCCTGCAAGAGGGAAGGTGATGGGAGAAGAATGACCTTTGATACTTAGCATACATTTGATCTTTTTCATACATACCTGAAGCCAAGTTCCACATGCTGCAAACCTGTGCTCATTATCAGCAATGGAACCAGTTACATTAGAACTAAGAAGTGTGATGGCCATGTCATTGACTGAACTATGGAATGTGAAGTGTCGTCCATGATTAAGCCGACCCCTGTTTAACAAACAGACCACAATCATTATTATCTAGCAACCCCATCATCATCATTATCACCATCATCTAATTTTTTCTTTTACATGGAGTTTAAAAAATAATACAGTGACTATAAAACACTAGTTTTATCTACTGGAAACAAGTTGAGAATTCATCACCATATGGAGAAAGTGTACAGCTCTTTTCAAGAATACCTCAGAGCTAGTGGTAAGAGCATGGCTGCCTCCAAACCAAACCGAAGATGAATACCTCGCAAAGTTCGTGTGCGAGAAATTTCACTGACAACACTACTACAAGCAGAGCGTCTTTCAGTCGTCACACCATCTGTGGCCTTGTGTGATGTAAAGGAAGACCCACTGCGTATTGGTGGTAGGACAGGGAAGCGTGTGTTCAGATCCTTCCCAGTCTGGGTTTCATTTGATGACCCATAAGAAAAACTTGTTTGTTGGCTGGTAGAATTATTTACAAAGCTTTCTTCCCACCAGCATTTTGCACTGACACCACTTAGATTGGAGCCCTCTTTCTCAATTCCATTTGTAACTGTTTCCTGTGAATAAAAATGACAACATAATATTATATTAGCTTAGATTAGAGGTAACTAAAAATGTTATGTCATTAGAAAGCTTTGGATAAATAATGTAGGTGTTTTTTCTCCTCCTTCTGTAACAGTTGGACATATATCTCATAATTGTGTAATTTTTAATATGACAACAAATAATTTAAATTTTTCTAATCAAATACCAGTAGTTGAACAAAAAACATTTATACTTCATTACATGCTGCCATTGCAAAAATGCTGCCCTAGACTGAACATCACAAGTGATATTAAAATTACACATCGACGCCACTCTTGAACAGAAAAAAAGGGTTTCCTCAATCAGAAAAACACAGTGTCTATTGGAGTATTGTAATAAAATAAAATAAAATAAAAAGTAGGGTAGAACTCAGTAATCTACCCCTTCCTTACAAATCAATATCAAAAATATTACGTACAATTTTCTGTGGATGATGTCAGTGGTTAGAGAAATATGAGTTTAAAATAAATCCTGTCCTTGAATAAAAACAGCATCAAAAATGGAAAACATTCAATGACCAGTGGAGCGTCCAATTGAATTAATCGAATAATTGTAACATGACCATTTTTAAAATTTTTTTTTCCAGTTATCTTGTGTCACTTAACCAATGAAAGATAACTAAGATTTACCCGCAGGGAGGGTTTAATTACAAAAATTGATTCTATCCTGTCCATGTCAGTCACAAGCCATGGTCCACCAGCTCTGAAAACAAGGGGAAGAAATTGATAGACTTATTTTAATCATTGATTTACCTTTTACCAATTTACTGAACAAAGTTTACTAAAAACATGTATTTGTTACATAAATCTCATAATACATCTTTTATCAGCAGCTCTCTTCATAGTGCTAGGCCTCAAACCCTCTGAATGACTCCTCAACTTGTTGAACCATTTGACTACCAGAGGTAATTAACATGCAACTTCTCCCTACATAATCTATAGATTATCCAGCAAAAAGGTAATGAGAACAGCCAAACTAATCACTAGAAGTTGTTATCTTGATCTAAAACTAAATTCTTGTAACTATTCAACAGATAAATGTGTAGCAGCTAGAGGGGAGAGTTAACAATCAGATCTTGGGTGTTAAGGTATTAAGTTGGCAATATTTTGTGTTAATTAGAGCTGTGAATTTAGTTTCTCTCCAAAGGTTACCTGTGCCTAATCAATTGTATTACATATTTATATTATATAATATGATGAGAATTTTTGGAAATAAAGATATTGGACCCTCACTGCCCTCTCTCCCCACCCCCCCTTCCCCTTCTCCTTCCCCCTCCCCCTTCCTCTCCCCCTTCCCTTCCCCTCCCCCCTTCCCACCTACCAACCTCCTATCAATGGCCAACTTAATAATACAACTCACACTCTCCTCTTTCCCAAAGGTAACTGTTGTGGAGAGGTTAAACTGTAGTTTTTTCATTACTTATGGATATTTTAATTTTTGTTAAACTTACGGAGGTACTTGTTTTAAAAGATCCAACACAGCAATACCATTCCAATGTTGTGCTGCTTGCAGTTCTTCTATACAAATCCCAACTACCTGTTGTTGGTAAGTGCACTACTAGTTTATAATTATATTCCATTCAATAAAGACTGAGAAACAAAAACAATTAAAATTATTGCTAGAGTGCTTTACATTACCTGAATGAAACGAATTGATCCCAAGGGACCTGTAATAACTGGTACACGAGGATCATCTACCATCAGCATGTGTTGTATGTGGGATGGATTACAGTTATATTGACCAGCAGCAGAAGGTGTCTGGTCTAATGGGAGATGCCAGGAAACATGGTCTCCACTCACTAGCATGTTGTCTTACAAAAAAAAAATTATCATATAAAACAAACATAGTGCACTAAACAAAGGCTAAGAAAAGGGAACTTTTCATTTGCATATCACCTCTTCCTTTTGTCAAAAGAATTTAACTATTTTCCTCTGAAGGTTTCCAAAACCAGGTTCTTTGATAGATAAATGAATTTAAGCCTACCTATAAACAGTAGAAGGTGCAGTTGCCCAGTGGTCAGTGCACTGGACTCCAGGTGGAGAGGTCTCCATTTGACACCTTGATGAGTCAATGTGTTGTGTTCTTAGGCAGTGTCTCTCTCCACCCATGAGTATAAATGAGTATAAGCAAATTTTCAAGGATGCCTGATGAAATGCTGTGGGAGTGAGGGGAGGTAACTTTGTAATGGACTAGCATCCTATTCAGGGAAGAGTAGTAAAACTTGTGGTCGCTTCAAGCTACATGGAGACCAAGATAAGCTCCAGCTAGGTGCGTCAATACAGACTTAACCTTACCTAACCCTAAGCTAACCTTAACCCTACTAACTTCTAAACCTACTGTATAATTAATATATTCCAATTTGCAAGAGAGCTTTATGTCTTTACCCGTCTGGAACACATAACGTGCAAGGGACTGGAGCAATTCTGCTGGCCAGCTGGGTGGTGATGTCTCTCCAACTTGCTTCTTCAGACGAAAGGTGAGCTCAAAACCAAATCCACTTGAACTGTCTCGCCTATTGACTCTGCAGCAAATCATAAAAAAAGTTCTTTCAGGTCCTTTGCAATAATATCATGACTCCAGAGAAATAAATAGAAAATGTGGAGGAAAAAAGGACTAAATTAGAAGGAAAACGCTTTTCATTTTATGGAAAGTGAGTGTTGGGTAAAACCAAACAGTATACTGAAACAAAAAAAAAATGTTTCTACTAGGTAATGCAAATCAATAGAAAAATTTATCGCACATACTCATGAACACGTCCATCGCCATGGAGATCAGACAGTCCCGCTGAGATATAGTGCCAGTGTGAGGGAATCCCCTCCATTGGACTGCCAGGATTATTGAACATACTGATAAAATCCAGGGGATCAGGACCACCAAGCCTGCATAGAAAGGCCACAGTAACTTACATCAAGTCTCATAAGGAAAGTGACCCCTATCCCTCTCTTCAAGGGTTTTGTCACCTGGGCCCTCTGAGCTACCCATAGTAAACACTAAAGGTCTGATCTGTATTTATCACCTGGAGGAGGGTCAGAGAATTTTGTTTGTGTCAAATTAAAATTTGGTGATCCCCCTGTAAGGCTCTGTAAAATTGCTATGATCTCTCTCCCCCCCCCCCCCCCCTCATTAGCAGTTAATTGGCAGTCAACTTTTTAAAGTCTCTCCCTGTTAACAATGACTGATGCCCCCCCTCTTCCCCCTGAAAACCATATGATCCCCCCAAAAATCCCCCAATCCCCCTCCACAGGGATGAAACATGACTGGTCCTTAACAGTCACCTTCATACATTTTGCATCATGACACAGGGACTAAACAACGAGCTGCAAAGGCCTTCTAAGCTCAATTTCAAAGTGCTTGCCTTAATTTTGCTCTGTAACTATAACAAAGTGAGAAGTCTAGTTTTAAGAACAGGTAAAAAATGTGACGAATTATAGCAGATTTACACTGTGATATATGTAAAGATAGTTGCAGAATGGCCGTTTCTACATCTCTATCGTATTTTAGCTTGTCTCCTTTCATAATGTACTCACCAGTATTTAATCAGAGCAGTAACTTGTAGCGGATTCGGTTGATCAGGATAGATTTGTCTTAGAGTGGAGTAGATTGTTTCTAAGCCTCGAGGCGTTGGAATACTTGGCGCCGGTAAAGACATTCCGCAATATCCTGACATCGCTTCCCGCAGATATTTTGATCACAGAATTTTAAGCGCAAGTAAACAGGATAATAGAAACAAGCCTACTATTGGAAACTCAAAGGATAAACAAATATGCCCTCTGATCCTGAGCTATTAATTATCCAAAGCCAAACTTTAGAGTCATGAGATAAAATTTCGTAAAGTCATAACACACATCGATGGAATGTGCGATGCGATCGGTTCTTGAAGAGAAATTCAGCGATCACGCCAAACGAGAGAACACTTTGTTACCGGATAGCGTAGCCACGTGATTAAGCAAATCAGTGGTAAAAAGCGTTTTCAAGAGTCAAACTTCATCATGGCTCCAAAGCCTTACTTTGCCAAACATGAATCTCAGATGTGTAATAAATTTCGAAGAAGACTGGACCGAGGTGAGGTTATGGAGCACAGACTTCTGGGATGGATGTCTTTCACAAACTCTCAAGATGGCGGCCGAACGACCAGCCAAACTTGATTACAAATCGAGGCTTTTAGTCGACCAGATTGTACAACATATAAAGTCACAAGGCATTTTTGACCAGTTTAGACGTGACTGCACTGACGAATTGGAGCAAAAGGTTGGTTAACGACCGACAAGTATTCTTGTTTTTTAATCAAGTATTGTTAATTAGGACGAGTATGACAGGTGCGTTATCGCAACTTCAGCTCAGAAAATCCTATAATTTTTTCTACATATGCACATTGTTCTTCACTGATTTTAACCTTATTCGCTCAGGAATCCTATCGTCAGTTGAAGCAAAGAGTTGAGAGCCATGTGGCTACATTCTTATCAAAACAGACTTGGACAGACGCTTTGCCCAAAAATCAAGTCAGAGACAGTCTGCGAAAACATATCAATCAGTAAGTATATGATAATAACTCTCAGAAAATTTATTTATGAATAGAACTATTGGAGAAATTTCAAATGAGTGTCGTGGGTAATATAGGATGGCTTTTCTTTTGCTTTGTGATCATACCTAAAAGCTTGCCCTACCTTCTAAACAGGCGAGCCAGATGCTAAATTAAATCAATTGCAACTTTGTCTCTTAATTTCCTTTGCATATATTTACTATGAGTTCTTATTATCTTCTTGTGAGATTTACCTTTGCTCTCTTTGGCCATTACCATTTCTTTTATGTAGGTTTAACCAACCTCAGTTGAAAATAGTTCTGCAGCTTATCTTACTTTAATACAGACTTGTTTTAAGGATAGGATAAGTTGCTCTGATAAAATTAAACAAAGTTAAGGATGTAGATGGAATTAGATTTCTCTGAAGAAATGTTTTTGTATTTATACTGACAGAGTTGACTTAGCACTTATGATACAATTTGGAATAGAACTTTTAATTTTTAGTGAAATAATACCTCTTACTAACCTTTTTTCTCAGTCCAAAATGAAAGGTATGGACCAAATTTTTTTCACTTGGATTTATGGCTCACACCTTAAGTGTGCAGGCCATAAATCAGAGCAAAAAAAGACAAGGTTCTGTAACTTACAGTACAGACTGCGAAAACAAGCTTAGTAAGATACATGTTATGTCTCTGGGTTTTAATAGAGGGTGAACAATTCAATTCAAACAAACTATTAAATTTAGCGGCCATACAGTGAAGTATGGCCAACTGAATTGACCAATTATGGTGCACCTACTAACTGAGAGATACAATAATGTTCTAGATCAGAAGTGTTGGAGCGAGGCATAAATCAACTGATCTCCCAAGCTCTTGATACTAAAGCCAAAGGCTTCCAAACTCGCATCGAAGGTGTTGTACAGAACTACATTTACACACAAAATAATCCACAGAATCAAGACAAACAAAATCGCAAACACAAGACAGTGGATGAAAAAGAGGATAGCAAATCTAACTCAAGCTCTGACTTCAAGCATGCTGGGATATGTGACATTAGTGACCTTATTCCCATACCAGGCCTTACGAGCACTGTTGCCAAGACAACAGAGACTGCTGATAAGAAATCAGGGGCTCAAGAGGGTTCAAAGAGTGCAACCTCAAAAAGTTTTCCAACAGGAAAGAAGTATCAGTCAATGCAGGGGAAGTCAAATTTGCATGCGGGAAAAGGCGAGGAAAGTAAGAATGCAAGTCCCTTTGATGAAAAGGTTACACAGGTAGATGAGAGTAGCAAATCTAAAGATGGAAAAAGCAAGACATCAAGAGTGAAAGCAGAGAATATGAGTCGAGATGAGAGTCGTCTTACACCTAAAGTGGAAGAGAGTTTTTACAAAGTCAAGGATGAGATGAGTAAAATCAACAGATTGAAACTGGCAAGTTCCAGTCCAGGGGAAAGTTGTGCTTCTTCCTCACTGGATGAAAGAGGTGACAAATACATGACATCTGAGGGAAAGAATGAAAATGCGAATCAAAGTTATCTTTTGTCTGGAGTTGCAGAAACTGAGGCTGTCAAGGAGGAAATCATGAGGGGAACAATAGTGAAGGCCGACAAAGGAAATGAAGCAAACACATTGATTAACTCCAAGGTCAAAGAAGAAACAGTTAATGTTTGTGAAATGAATGAAGAGAGCAATGTTCCAGGGAAACTGATGGGGGAACAAAGAGCCAAAGCAGGGACAAAGGTCATATCTAACTTTGGTAAATTGAAGCAGGACAACATGGTGCTGAATGAAGGAAGTAAATGTATGCAAAGTGACAGCTTTCAAACAGTGACGGCAGATGACGAAGTTCCTAAAATCTGGAGTGTATTCAATGAAACACCTGCCATGGATGTCACGGTTTCTGCTGGTGAATTCAAAGAAGATGAAAATGTGAAAAGATTTGAGCCAATTATGCTGTTTTCTGAAAAGATTTCCAGAGCCATTGGTACAGATAGTGAAGAGAGAAACCCTGTTGATTCTTTCAAAAATATTATAAACACTGTAAAAATGCCTCAATCTTTGTTAAGTGATGGTGGGATTGAAAAGGTTGCTAAAGAGTTCCCATCAGAGGCAAGATCAGATGCTTCCAAGATGGACACTTCAAGTCATGAGGTACAGAGACTGAATTTGTCAGAGGAAAGCCTTGAGCTCCTGTCCAGACAGAAAGAAGGATACGATATTCTAGGTGATTCAAATCTAGAAGCATCCTCTTTGGTTGGAGTAGACTTTACACAGCCATCCTCCATGGGTGAATTTTCAGATAGTGCATCAGACATATCCGATGTGTCTTCTGTTCATACAAGTGACTTGTCGTCATTTGATGATGAAGATGAGGAGGAGGAGGAGGAGGCAGAGGGAACAAAGAAGACAATAGAGAAGAGAGAACTGGATGGAGATGGTGACACAGAAAGGATAAGCGTGTCGCAGAGTGAGCAGAATTCTGATGCAGCACCAAGGCGCCGCTCGACAAGAATCAGCTCACGGAGGAGCACAAAGGAAGGTGAAAGTGAAACATCAGAGGGCGAAGCCAGCAAAGAAAAACACAGAAGTTCTCATAAACGAAGGCATGGTGAGAAGAGGACCAGAAAACCTGGCCCTGTGGGTAACAAAGTACGAAGTGTATCTGATGTTGACAAACCCCGAAGAAGAGGGCGACCTCGAAAAGACGACAGACGTGTCAGTAGTCAATCTGGAAGTCAGATCAGGCATTCTAGAGCACGTGAACGTGAAGATAGTGGTACAACAACAGATAGGAGTGAAAGTGATACCAAAGAGTCTAGAAGTACGCGATCACAAAGACAGATCAAACGAACACGGTGTTACTCGCCCAGTAGTGAAGGGACAAGAGAGGTATTTTTGCCTCGCAAACGTAGTCGAGATGATGTTAATTAGCTTAATAGTACTTGAGAACCTTTATACAAGTCATTGTACAATTTGATTATCCTGATAGTTCTTTCCAGCTACATGCGATTCACCAAGTCGAAATTATCTGACAGGATTTGTGCAAACTATTAGGGAGCAACACGCGTGAAATAAGTTTGTCCAAGAAATTACCTGTTCAAGTATGCCTACTATATATTTTCAGAAGAGGCAAAGGATTTTTCAAAGCTGCTTTCATCCAATAAAAATAAAATCACAGAACTGTTTCTGTGTTCTTTGTGGGGTAGAATTCATCATGAACACTAGACCTGGCCTGCTTGCAGGCAATTTTTGGGAGGCATAGTTTGCTCTTGGTGATTATTTCAAGCCCTGATGCTTTCAACTAACATTTTTTTAGTTATTTACTTCATCATCCCATGCCCCAGTTAACCAAGAGTTATAAAATCAAGCTGCTGAAGCCAAATTTCTTGAATTTTTCTTGTTTTAATCCAGAGCAGATGAAGAGAAATATATAGATTTTTTTCTAATCAACTTGTGCAATTTGTAAAATAACGACAAAGGTCTGACCCAATATCTTTAAAAGGAAAAAAATACTCACGAAGCAGGGTCCTTTTGACACTGCCCTTATCCATTACTTGCACATGCAATGCCATCTTAGTAGGGCATCAGTGTCCTCGGGCATCCCTTCTATTCCCTATGTAACCTAACACACTTCTTGTTATCACTAGACAGTGATTAAGGAATTTTACCACACCTGCTGCTGGAAGTTTTATGCCACAGTCCTTTGCCTGGTAAACTCTTCCAATCTCAGGATTGAACAAAAAGGAATTTCTCCTAACTATATTTATACATTTCAAGGAGAAAGGCAATAAATGGAGTGAAAATATCCGTCATGATATTTTTATCTGAATCTAAATTCTCAGAGCTTTTAAGCTCACAAGTCTTATGGGACTTAAAAGTCCCATAAGACTTGTTTGACAACCATCGCAGAGAATTTAAATTTGGTTCTTGCAAGTGGAATGGGTCAAAGATAGTCTGTAATGGCATCAGAGTCCACGTTGAATGTTTATTAACTTTCAATGCACACATTTTAAGGATATATTAAAACTGTACACTGTACGCCAAAAGAAGACAGGATAATATTGCTCCTACACCACATTAACTGGGAAAATGATAATCACAAAATTTAACTCAAAGTATAAAATCTAGATATATATTACAAGCAGTCAGTTAACACTTAAACTATTTAGATCTAGGAGGATGTGAAAGCCTGTGAAAGTCAGTCTACTTCATACCCCTGTACAGTTCATTGATTTCAAGACTGGTTTCCATCAAAATTGAAGCCTGGTGTCCCACTCCTGCATTGTGAATGTTCCCAATAGAAAAATGCAATGCAACATAAATCAATATGACTTCTTAACCCTTTAACTCCCATGAGTGACCACAGAAGAATTTCTACTTACAATATCAATACAATGTCAACCAGTTAAGTGAAGAGAATAAAGAAAAATATCAATTTGGGGTCAATTAGTTGATCCAATACTAAATTCTCTGGACTAACATTACATGAATTGTATGGTTGACAGTAAGGAGAATTACAATCTGATCTGAGAGTTAAAGGGTTAATGAGAGAAAGAGGTGTGAGGCTGGTTACATCACAGGATGCAGTGATACTGCTAAGCAAGACCCAAACCCATGGTGTCATTAGTCAAAGCCCTGTCAGTGTCATATTCATTCAGTCTACTTTTTCATGATGGAGATTGAAAAAAGGTTTCTAGAGCATTCATCAACTCTACCATTCAGCCCTTACATTATTATTTTTTCAATTATCTCGACTGGCATCTACACACTTCAACTCTTACAGCACCAACTGAAAGAGATTGATTTCATATCATACTAAGAAATTTTTGGTGTGTGACCATTATGTTGAGTCTCTAGAACCTTTAAACTTCTATGAGTGACAGACACAGAATTTCTCCGTGCAATATTAATACAATATCAAGCAGACAGGAGATAGGAATAAAAAAAATTATATGGTGATAATAAGTTCATTCAATATAAAATTATCTAGTAAACAGTAACAGTACAACACTTGTATGGCAGACAGTAAGGAAAATTACTAATGAGATCTTGGGAGTGAAAGGGTTACTCATAATTTCCTGTCAAATGAGAAGGTAGTGGGATCAATCTCACAGCTTGGTCTACTTTCTTTTCAAACCACAAGAATGCTAAATCCTCTGATTTTTTACCTCTCAATTACAATAGGAAAATAAATTACAATGAAAACCTTTGGTACAGTAAGTTTTTAACAGAGTGCAGAACATTACCCTGTCAGTTGTCCACTACAAATTAATCTGGTCTAAAATGAAATTACTTATGACAAGTATCTACAGTAACTACTGAACAGAGCAGAAGGAACTCTTGGTTTGGGATGGTGTTGCTCTTGAAGGCATTTCATGATTTCCATACTGTATGATGTCAGCCTTAATGACTCTCTGTATGTTAAGACCAGTGTCAAGGAAAATGGCAAACCACAACTCCTCATTCAGCCTAACACTCAACATAAAAACCATGCAACTGGAGACTTAAGCAAGAAAAGCTAATGGTAGCTTCAGGCATTTGCAGTCACAAATTAAAAGTTCTGTCTATGACAATATGGCTAGACTGATTTCAAGTTCAATACTGTCAAACTAAAATATGAACATAAATTATAATCCAAGCAACATGGAAGAAACAGCTGAACAACAGCTGTGTGACAAATCAACAAGCACAAGGAAAACCAATGAAAATGGGAGCAGAAATGAAATAAAACTACCAAGGGTGAAACACATTCTTACCAATTGTCCTCTCAATACACCTAAATGATAAAAACATACTGGAAACTGTAATAAAATATTGCAAAGACTATAAGATTATATTATTTGTTGGCCACATAACACACAGACAATACACAAGGTTCTGAAATGTGATCAGATGGTAACATCACTAAATCCTAATCTAACAAACAGTTACCCTTATGATCTACCAATCTTCATAAGTATTTAATGGACATAATACATTTGCACAACAGTTTTTAAAGGATACAGATTGTTGCTCCATTTCATTCTTTGTTAGCCGTATTCCTAATACTTCTGCAGCTATTTTTTGAAAGCAGAGGCTGATCTGTATATAATAAAGTACAATGTTTACTGTCATCACACTTGTGACACTCAGTTCTGAAAACAGCATAAAATCAATTTCAATGGGCATAACATTTTAACTTTGATTTTTTATTTTTTTATACAGAGCAACTAACCTGGTCTGCTGTCTTGGCAGATACGTAGTAACTAAAAACAAAAAATAACAGTACCTTAATTCCACTAAAAATTAAAAGAACTCACTTCACCTGTGCCAAAGGTTTAAATGCTGGATTGCACATCAGGCATTAAAATGATGAAAAAAACTAAAAAACCACTAGTAACTAGGGAGAGAGGCAGAGTGAAACACCCTGAGACTCCAGATTCTTACCTGGACAACCCATGCTCCTGAGCAAATTTCCCATGTTTGTCTGATCTGACCACTCTTAGATGCTCCAGGTCCACTAAAGAGATGGTAAAAAATGTCAGAGGAAAAAATTACTGATATGTCTCTTAACCCATTGACCCAACAGAGTGCCTAACATCTAAAGTCTCCTCACAATATCACCCATGAATTGCACGTTAGGATCAAAAGAATAAGGGAAACAATAACCAACAAAAGCAGTCCTTGATCTTTCAACAAATTCTCCTTAAAGCAACTTAGAATTGGATAGAGAAGAGTATGGAGAATTTTCCTGCTAATGTTGGGGTGTAAAGGGTTAATTTGTAACTGGAAGTGTGATAAAATACATTACAAATCAGTAAACGAAAAGTAACAAATTGGCAGATCTATAGGCAAACATAATTAGAAATGATAAACATGGCTGTTAAATCATTTGTCTCACAACTTAAAGTCGTCACTGTCAATTGCAAAGTCAAGGTGTCAGTTGAGGTTTATGATGTTTTGACAGCTGTACTGTTGCTCTTTGTCAGGGGCCTGATGATAATAGGCAGTAAAAAAGTTCAAAAAATTAAATAAATGTTAGTCACAGCAAAAAAAGAAAAAGTCACCGCCAAAAAAAAAAAAAAGTGCCAAGTAACAGAAGAATTTTTTGCATCCCTGTTAATAAAGAGGGCTCAGACCAAAACAAAACTTAACTGGAATATTCTCCATAGAAGCTTGATTACTCTCCTTCTAAGTAATCAGAGTATTAGGCAAAATTCTGTGATTGTCAATTGTCACTATGACTATCAATGATGGTGGCTCTTAATTGTGTTGCAGATAAAAAATATTAATTTATCTTCACAACAGAGATGAACAAACACATCTCTTTTTATCCAAAATAACTCAACAAAACCATTACATATCACTTACCTTTATTAGCTACAAGTGCTATATGAGGTAATCGAGAGCCATCTTTCTCACAAAGCTTTTTCACAGTATCAAACCAGTCTTCAAGGTTATCAAAACTATCCTGGTTTGTTACGTCATACACCAGTAGCACAGCCTACAGAAGAATAGCACCATGACAATTTAGATGATAGATAATAATGATGATGACAATGATGATGATGACGATGAAGACGACGACGACGACAATGATGACAACGACAACGATGATGATGATGATAATAATAATGATGATAATAGTAATATTTTAACAGTGGACAATCCATGAGGTGGCTCCTCATGTCCATTGTTTCAAGGTCAAATTGAAATTTGGAAATGTTGGTTTTTGTGGAGGGACCTGGAGAAAAGCCCTTGGAGTAAGGACAAGAAACAACAACAAACTCAACTCATAAGTGGCCCCGTGTTTGGGAATTGAATCCATGCCACGGTGGTGAGAGGTGAGTGCTCCTCATCACTGTGTCATCTCCACTCCCACCAGATAGTATTCCCACAGAAAGCAGTTTCTATCAGTTCACCAGTATAATAACCCATGTGGGATGTCAGGAGAACATTCAAGTGGGATATTATGCTGGTAAACCAATAGAAATTGTTGGCTATGGCTTTTATTGGCACATCTCTAAATGTTTCAATGTTCTATGAGTTGACTGATGCAATCAATGATGGGTTTTTGACCAATCAGGGTGCTCATGTTTTTTACCCTTTATGGTGGCCAATTTATGTTTTCAACTCAGTTGTTAACACTTAATTACCTGCTATACTCTCCCACCGATGCAGCACCACAGTTTCCTTAGAAACTAACCCCCTTTATTTATTGCTCATGTTAGTATATTGGTTATTCAAGAATGTGAAATAAATCCTCCTTACTGACTACCAACCATTTAGCACTTATCATAATTGTTATCATCATTCATGGTAGTAAAATTATTTGGTTCTTTTATGGGTTATTTTATGGGTTAGATTTTGAGACTGACATCTATCAGAAACTACATTTAAGCCTACCTTTATTACAGTTCTACCAACAAAAAACCTAAATTAACAAGTTTAAATACATATGATTTTATTTCTCTTTTCTCTGACCCTAAAGACTTAAATTGGAATCACTCAATACCACTTGAGGGTAATGAACTTTGAAGGATAAATACATCAATAGGAAAGGGTTACTTTTCAATTCAGCTCCTATGCTTTGCTTGCTTTATCATACTTACATGAGCGCCATAAATATATTTGTCTAACATTTTTCCACCGAGGGTTTGGCCTCCAATATCCCATACTTGTAACGTGACGTGGACATTCCCTAAAAAAAGCAGCATTGGGCAATAAATTGTGAAAAATGACGTGATAAGGCCGAAGCAATAGCACCTGTTCTACAACAGATTTCAAGTTTCGAAACGAACCTGGTAAAACAATTCTTCCCAGAAAGAAATCCAGTCCTAGGGTCTGTTTGTAAGCTTTGTCAAAGTTCTCCTGAGAATATCTTACACATATTGATGTCTGCAAAGGAAAGAGTATCACAACTAGCTTATTTAAAGGGAAGTTTTCAGCCCACTTGTAAACCAAATTCTCGAAGATAATTCGAATTAGAGGCTTCGAACGGACTGAAAAATGATCCCTGAACTCCATTATTACCCTTACCTTGCCCGATGCACCATCACCTAAAAGAACAAACTTAAGCTGATGGTCTGTTGTCGTTTCCTCATCAGAATCGGTCATTTTTTCAGTTTTTCAAAAGCTGATTTAACCGAGTTTACCATGAATATGTGGAGCCATTTTGCTTCCGAGGACTTTGTTTGTAGTGACGTCACGGTAACAAAAGCAAATGTACAACATTGCCGTGGGCTCAAACGATTTGCGTAGACAAAATGGCGGCAATGGGGTAAGTTGAGGGTGATTTGGTAGTTTTTAATTTATATTTTTGTATAATTGTATTGTATAGTTTATTTCAATTGAAAGTTTAAATGATTTTATATTTATAAATTTACGGAACCATCGACAAATGAAAAAAGAGAAAAAAAATCGTGGTAAGCTTTCCGCACAGCCTCATACTTCATTATCCACACAATTCTTGGATAAATAAGACACTGGCGGAGACAAATTATTAGATGGTTTAATTGCCTTTGGGACTACAGCTTTGAGAATGATATGGACTTATAGGGAACTCTTCCCAAAGTCATGTTATAGATATTAATGGACAATGTTGTAGCCCTTGTGTTGTAGCTTGTTCTTGCAGCCAACAAATATTATGAATGAATTTATGGAAGTTTACCTTCCAGCTTTTGAGCAAGAATGCTGCTTTTAACCCTTTCACTCCCAAAGTGTCATTATTAATTCTGGAATTTGGTGTTTGATCTACTGATAATCCCTTCATATTTTTCTTTATTCTCATCACTTGTTTGCTTGATATTGTATTGATATTGTGAGGAGAAATTCAATCTTGGTCACTCATGGGAGTTGAAGGGTTGAGACTTTCTCATATATTTTAAACAACCCTATATTGAAAATCCAGGGCAAAATTAACACAGTGAGCAATATTTATGCACTAAACTTTATTTTTCAGACACATTTGGTTTTTCTGTCCTCTGTGGAATTTAATTAACTTATTATAAACATGGCACTTGGAACACTGCGGACAAGAAAGCATTTCCTATTCTGGCGTACAATCAGTCAACTTGCCTCTGTGAATCACATTGTAACAATGTCCTCTCCTCCATACTTTGAGGATAAGTGTAATAAGATTGGTGCTGTTGTCACCAGAACAGGAACAGAATCAAGTAGAAGCCCAGTTGTTGCTCTTCTTGGCTGGAATAGTGCACAAGATAAGCATCTGGCTAAATACAGCGAAATATTTGAAGAAAAAGGCTTTGACACCATCAGGATTCCGGCAAACCCATACAACACTTTCTTGCGATTAAACAGAGTCAAAGAGATCAGTCTGGAACTTTTGGAAATACTAGAGGAAATGAATTCAAATAAAAACAGGCCATTTATACTTTATGCCTTCAGTATGGGAGGGTTCAATGTTGGCCACTTTATTAGACAAGCAATATCTATCCCAGGGCAGAGGCATTTTAAATCCATCAATATCATTGGTTGCATATTTGATAGTTGCCCCCATTTTCCTGGTTGGCATAGTCTAAAGGGTATACAGTCCACAATTTTAGAAACCATACCAAATCCTCTGATTAAGGCTGCTGTGTGGGTGGGCTTAGGACTGGTATGTCCACCAGTTTTTTTGTTCTCTTTGGAATTAAAACAGCTTATACCAGACTCCATATCCTACCCCTTTGGTTGTCCTGAGTTGTTCCTTTTCTGTAGCACTGATCCTTTAGTTCCTGAGAGAGATGTTTGGGTTTTCATTGAGGCACACAAAAAGAAAGGTATTAAGGTTTTTGAAAAGTGCTGGGAAGTGTCAGGTCATGTGCAACATTATAGGAATTATCCTGAGGAATACTTGAGCAAAGTCAATACCTTTACTGACTATTGTATGAAACAGTATTTCACCTCAGGAATTTCTAAGCTATAATAAGCCTTACAATACAGGCTTTTGAATCTGTTTACTACAAACTTGATATAAATAATACTATGCATTCATATCAAATTTCTTGTATCTTGCAAATTGAAAGTAATGTAAGGACATATTATGACTTTTTAGAACTGTTTTAAAAGAAATTTTGACCTTAGCAGTTGTAAGTAACTTGCAGCATTTTGAGGTGGGGCTTTGACAACTCAATTTGCAGCTTAAGTGGCTGATTCAGTGATCTGTGTTCAGCCCTCATGTAGAGAGTTGTAAATTATTTTACTCAGTTTTTGAGGCCTTAGTTAAATGCAGGAAAAAATTTTGCTTTAACTGTCTGTTTTTTTTGTGGGAAGCTGATGTTTTCTTTGTGTCAGAACTTAGGAAAACATTTTTCTTTTCAGCTTACCCATCTCCTTGGTATCCACATCACCCCACACTACCACACAGGAGATGCTTTGACACTCCAACCCCCCCTCCCCTTCCCATCCTTGGAAAAAGAGGAACATTCATAGAGGATACAGAAAGGTTTTTAGCTGCTAGGTATATTTCAGTTATAAGTATCTATGATTAAAATTTGTATAGGTAATTAAATATTGATGAGATAATTAAAAACTTATACCATATGATGATTTTACCTATTGTTAAAAATAAAGGAAAAGTGAAAGAGTTGCAAGGAAATCTTGGTCAAAACCTTATTTTAGGTTTCACGTTAGAATAGATTCATGTTATATTTGCTACATTGTATTGGAAACTTAAAAATAAAAGCTGCTACATTTTATTTTTGTATTTAAGTTATCTTTCCTAACTAATTTTTTTCCGTATTTTAATATTCAGAAACAAAAGGGCAAACAGGCTTCATAAAGAATATTTGATTTGTATCAATTATTTGTTCAATTTCAATTTACAATTACACATTAAGACAGACTTTAAATGCAGTTTTTCATTGTTTTCATTTTGTTAGATGAATTTGAAATATATATCAATAAGATAAATCAATTTTATGAGAAAAAACAGCCTTCAGATTTCTATTGTTGTGACTGATTATGTCAATTCAGCCAGCTATACAAATTTTAGCCGTGTGTCATCAAACTTATGGGAAAACTGAGTTTTATTGTGTCGGTCAAACTTGTATCTAGATTGCAATCTGAAATTTGTATTTGGTAAGCTTGCGATACGCTAGAAGAATTATTAGTAGAAAATTACTGAATCTTAGTGCAGAATGTTATTTTCTTCCCGCTCCTTTATGACAGGTTACTGACAAAATTTTTCTTTCATCGACCTCTGATTAAAAGTGGAAAAAAAAAGAAAAGAAAACCATACATACACAATGAAACTTTATTGCTGTAAATCTTTCTCTTTGTGGCCCTCTGGGTAAACATCAATTAATTTTAGCTTTCCACATTTCATATTAGAGTTGGTTATTGAATGTTTCTTTTGCGGCCATATTTCGATTACAACCTACACTTAGTTAAGTTTAAAAATTGACAGATAAATCTATTTAATGTTTCATGCAGAAATATCTATCAATAAACCTTAATAATAAGAAATATAAAGAAAAACGCTGATCACTTTAAGATGGTAATTTTGAAAATTAATTCTGTTTTGTTTCGGGAAAAACTTAATTTCTAATTGTAAAACCTGTCACCCTGATTCGTCAAATGTTTAAAATAAAGCTAATATAGACATCATCGAGACGTAATTCGACTATCTCCTTATAAATTAATATTTTGATGTAAGCGCTACAGATGGCAGTGTGCAGCTCAGGTGGGCTTTCGATAGCGAACAGTTTTAATTCAGGTAATTTAACTTGTATATTGTTCAATGTATTGAGTGCAGGAGAGAACAGTTTGATGCGTCAAAATGTTTAAAATAGAGCTAATATAGACATCACCAAGACGTAATTCGACTACTTCCCTATAAATTCATATTTTGATGCAAGCGCTGCAGATGGCAGTGCGCAGCCCACGTAGGCTTTGATAGAAAACAGTTTTAATTTAGGTAATTTAACGTGTATATTGTTCAATGTATTGAGTACAGGTGAGAACAGTTTGATTCGTCAAAATGTTTAAAATAGAGCTGATATAGACATCACCTAGACGTGATTCGACTACTTCCCTATAAATTAATATTTGATGTAAGTGCCTGATGGCAGTGCGTAGCTCACGTAGGCTAGAACAGTTTTAATTCAGGTAATTTAACTTTTATATTGTTCAATGTATTGAATGCAGGTTAAAAAAAAAAGAAAAACTACATAACTTGAGAAAAACGGTGAAATTTGTTTTTATATCACTGATCGCAATGGGACTCGCCGTCCTCAAGGTGGCATTTTATATTCGATAACAGCCATACTGTCCTAAATGTACGTTTCACGAGCGATTGAATGAACATATTGAAACCTTCAGCTTTAAATTGACTCGCACAACAAATACTTCGACTGAAAGTTCGAATCGAGTTATGAGTTTTTTCTATTAATTCCAGGCGATATTTACATCAGGTCATGGGACGCTTTGATATTTGTGAATATATATCTCTTTTACTGCTGTTGCCAGTAATTTTCCACTGTGAATTTTCTTATTAAGGGAGATGCTGATTTTAGCTTTTACATGTACTTTAAACTAATAACTATTTATAAAATCGTTGCTCTTTGGAAGTTTTTCGAACGTGCACGATGTTCAATCAACGTATTTCGGAGATGTTCGAATCCTTCCTATCAAGAGTATTCTAGTTCATTCTACGCGAAGACTGTAAGACTTGTAGAAAGTGGAACTCCATTAAAATTCCCAATGACACTAAGTCTATCTACGCGGTCTTTTACCGCGTCGACGTCGTAGGTATGATTATTGAGTTATTCAACCGTTTTTATAGCCTTTATTTTGTCTGTCTGTTCTGTTCTGACGGAGCCTCATCTCATAATTTAGCTCTATTTCGTTAAATAACATTTCCCGAACTAAAATAGATCGACAATCAGTGAAAAGCTCTTATAACTGTTCGCGCAATACAGGTTGTGAAACGAGAGGGAGCTCAGATTTATCGTTCGCTTAAAACTTTCCAACGCTTAACTTGATTCAGAGCAGAATCTACGGAAGAGCTGGCATAAGTGTTACTTTCGCGAGATCATTAGTACCTCACCTCACCTCACTGAATATTCAACGCACATGTAAACTTACACCTCATGCAAATTCACAGCAGTGAAGAATCAGCTTTTGCAAATGATTTTTGGAAGTATTAATTGCACCGCAATTGAGTGGGAGTCTTCTTTGGCTAGTATGCGTGAGCGCATGAGCCGGGTGCCTTAACATGACGTGTTATGAAGAAAAAGCAATTACATTTTTGACCATTTTCTGTCTCGATCAGATTTACATTTAAACGAGTTCGTGAGACTAACGCCCCTTCTACGCCGCACCGATGAAGCTTTACGAAAACTGTAACATCAGAGATCCACACATTTTCGGCGGGATAATCCATTCTATATTCTACGCATGCCTAAGGATGCATTAAAGCCAATTTGATCGTTTTAGTGAGAACGGAAACATTTTGTCCACTCTCAGATGTCGAGGGAAGCTTTTGTTGCGTTTCAAAGTGAAAAAGCTATTATAAAAATTATGTCTTATTACGTGAACAGGGTCTAAATCTCGTGAGACTAACGCCCCTTCTACGCCGCACCGATGAAGCTTTACGAAAACTGTAACATCAGAGATCCACACATTTTCGGCGGGATAATCCATTCTATATTCTACGCATGCCTAAGGATGTATTAAAGCCAATTTGATCGTTTTAGTGAGAACGGAAACATTTTGTCCACTCTCAGATGTCGAGGGAAGCTTTTGTTGCGTTTCAAAGTGAAAAAGCTATTATAAAAATTATGTCTTATTACGTGAACAGGGTCTAAATTAATAGTAGTCTCACTGGCTATTTACGGCGTTAGATTGAGGTCGGCGCAGATACACGAATTGTGCCTATTCGTTGCCATTGTCGCCCAATATTTTTCAAGCGGGCGAGTATAACGTAGGAGCGTTTCTATGTTAATATACACCACAGTTTCTTAATTATTAGACATTACTGAAAAAGAAATTTAATTGAAATTTAATTTAAGAAATTTAATTGAGCGTCAATAAATTTTAATTTTAGTCGAATTTTATACACGCACTTTAAGGTAATACAACTTCACATAACGAACTGATGCATTAACAGACAGCTGTAAAGCAAAGCCAAAGATTGAAACTTGTAAAAAACATTGCTAAGTTGGTTTTTCTGCAGAGGGTCATTCATAAAATTTACTCACAATAACCGAATGACAGTACGTGTTTTGAAACGAAATAGGTCCATTTCCTTCCCTTCTTACGTCTCAAACTAAGAGTCTCTAACTCCCCAGTTTGTTAATTTGTTTCCGTGCTTTCAACTCGATCAGCAGGCATTTATTTCTGTTTGACTTTGATACAGTGAAGACAAAACACCATTACCCGACCCCTTTATAGAATTTTGTTTATTTTCTCTAGTCCATTGCAGTCAGCAATTGTGTTTTCCTTGGTATCTCTGTATCCTTTCATCAAACAAACTCATGCTGAACTTCTTAAATTTGTTACGATACCATTATTTCCAACATTTTCCTTTCCGACAACAATGCTCAAAAATCCAAACAATTATACCTTTATTGAGTCGCTGTTGTGTGGCCGCAAAACCGCTTTAAATTAAGAGAAATTTTAACAGTTTGTTATGGTTAAAAAATTAAAGAACGTGAGGAAGGTTAGAAAAATTCTAAACGAGACCAGAGATACGCGAGGATGCAGATAGACATAAACTTGACAATAGACGAGCTCAAAAAATAATTTCTTTTAGGATGTGCCAACTTTGATATTGTTTCTCTGAAGCAGCCTTTTAGTCAGGATGTCATTCTCTGAGATAACCTACCATTAACTTGTTTGAGACGGAAATAAATGCGACTGAATAACGCATTGACGCACACCATGAGGATTTTTGGTCACGGTACGAAACATATCATCGTGATAAAAGTAAACTAACACGTAAGTTGGGGGGAAGTCTTCAAGAGATTTAACACGCTCGATAAAACTCTTTATTTAAGCTGATGGAGGCTACACAATATCTGTTCAATAAGAGAGAAAACAGACACAAAAAATAATTTTGTATGACGCTCATTCAATTGAAAATCCTTTACCTTGTTTTTGTTAAGATAATTTGAGCTCGACACACGATAACCGAAAAAATCGGAAAAATTTCCTCGCCATCAATGAGGCCGAATTTGCTTGATCTGTGGTAAGTTTTTCTAGCAGTTTTTCATCTTTTGCACCTCTCTTCATTTTTATTTAAAAGCATTGGAAAAAGGAAATTGCAAGAAATCATTCTTGTTGACAGCTCCCACTCCCTCCACCCGCCTGCCCATAGCCCCTACCTTCAGCTTTGTCTTGATGAGTGGCATGGCGAAGGGGGGGGGGGGGGGGGGGGTGGGAGCTCCCACTGGCGCCCTCATTGACTTTTACTGCTCAGGATATTTCTTAGCTTGTTTCCATGACTGAGAAAAGAGTACAAAAGACCCTACAGAGGTATTAGACTCTAGTATAAGTATAAGTATAAGTTTGAAAAACGGGCAAGTTAAAAATGTTCTATCAGCCGCGGAGGCGTTAATCATCTTTTTCGTTTAAGCCACAAAATTGGTATTTTATCGAATGAATCATTGAATACATAATTTGGACATATATGATAAAAGCTGTTTTGCGTAAGGATAATTAAAAAGCTCGGTAGAGATTTCTTAATCCTGAAGATATTATCGTTTTGAGTTAAGAGGTAAGCTTACCGAGATTGAAAGCTATCTGGCTAAGGGGAAGGTTAGATTTTTCTGATTTGAGAACACTCTTAAATAGCTCGACTGATATCCTTCTAAGCTTTGCAGAGACATGTAATGAGGAAAACTGAGATCTAAGTTAGTTTCCCTTTTCATTTATTAGCCATAAGTTATCAAAATATCTGTACGATATATTTTAATCGGTTTCACGCCTCAATCTTAAAATATCAAGTGGCAAGTTTTCTTTAAAAATCTGCTAGTCATCTCTTCATATCCCAAAGTTTTCTTTCTGAAAATGTGTTGCCATTATTCAATGATATTATTACTGTAGGCTATGCCAATGAAATCAATGATTGTCACTAAAGTCATAGGCGTTTTGGGCGTTTGTTACTTGAGCGACGGCTCTTACTTCTCGGAGTCAACATATCACTTTTTCCGTCACAACAGCCATTAATGAAATGGAGCTAAACCTTGCAGTAATTGAAAATTATTTGTATTGTACATCTTAGTTTTGAAATTTAATTTACTTTTGTCACGGACATCATCAAATGAATTTCTGTAAGAGCAGTGCGCACCTGCTATTAAACTTATATGAAAGAAGCTAATGAACTGTAAGGCGCGCTAAAGAAAGGTAATATCAATAATATTTTTCGTCTGCGAAAAGAATTATTTTTTCCACGTTGTGCAGACGCTTTCGTGTTAAGCGTGGTTACCCACACGTCGGGAAATTAATGAACATCATTATCTTTGCTATTTTTAAGAACCAATTTGTTGTTTTGTCGCATGATTTATCTGCACAGCGTTTCCTTGACGCTATTAATTCCTCTTCGCGAGAGAAGAGTTATTTTTTACAGCCACTGGTCCTGTCGTCTTCTCAATTTGGCCTGTACAAACCGTGCCATTCAATAAAATGCGGGGTTATAACTTATGGAAGTCATGTTCTGCTGCGTTCCTTTTCAGAAAAGGTGACACCAGCTTTCGTTACACTTCCTGCTGATTTGCATGGTTTTGCGGTACACTTCAATGCTCTGCGGGTGTCGCTGACGAAGATATTTTGGCGTCAGTCTTCTGTCAATATGTGAGACTTAAGTTTTGTCAGTAAACTCTAATAATTTTGACACCTAATTCAGTTGTCTAGTATACTCGGAATCGCTCATTTCTCTTGAGAAATTGTGGAGAAACTCAACATATTATTCTGTGTGACAATAGTCGATGAGAATCTACATTATTTCAAGGTGTTACACAGGTAAGACTTAAAGTAAGTATTATTTTCGATCTCTTGAAATAACTCTCTTTAATCTTTTCTCTCGTGTTTTTTTGATATTTTAAAGGGGAGTGCACAGTAAGGGTATTATCGACATTCTTCGTTTTTCTTAAATTCGTGGAATAAAAACAACTCAAGTTTTCTGGAGCATAAACTCGTGCTTATTTCATCTGGTAGCCGGCACTTTATTTTGTTACTAAATTCGAACTTTTCATTCAATCATGGTCCGCGGTGTTTTATCAAACCAATTCAGAATTAGAAGGCCAGTTGTACGATAAACCATTTCAAACGCAAATTAACTGCCGGATTTTGGTGTCTCTACAACAAACCATCTACATCAATGATATTTTGCATTTGCATACAGTTATAAATAATGAATTGTGGCCTCGTGCCCCGCGGGAAAACAGAAAAAATATGCCTCGTCAGCTGATGCAAAAAACTCCTGCTTCTTTCTTGTTCTGCGAAAAGTTTTAATTAACTGATATATTCACGATGTTATTTTCAAGAGCACTGGACGTAAAACAGCAGCTCATAATTGCAATCGATCTCTGCTGCTGTTCAAGAGCGACTTTTCATCTGGATTATGATCACGTATGCGAGAATCATGGCGCCACAATTCATAAAATCAGTCAATGCATTTGGAGTTTTTAGAAATCGCGTCTCGTGCGTAGTCCAAAACTTAGGTACAATTTGTTACCACTTCAAGCGAATATCGAGGGTTCTCAGAAATTAAAAAATTTCGTCTTTGTATTCAATAAGTTGGAAAGGAACCCACACAATTTAAACTGGTATGAAAAATTCATAAAATTCGCTATAAGTGTTTGAGAAAAGCAAATTCTAACAATCTAGGATTCAATGAAACCCTTCAAATAATTAAAATTTATCAAACAAGCAAAAACGTTCCTCTAAAAGACAATATCTGTGATTTGTTTCATCGTAACAGTTGCTTAAAATCACCTCGCTGTATTCTTTTGGATGTTTCTCACTCATTAACAAGATTTGACACTCAGTCACCTACTATAAAGTCGGCTAGACTCAAAGGAGACAAGCGGAAGACTTAGGGTTTAATATTGCTTGTTGGACTTCGCATCGAAAGAATTGGGTTCGAGTCCATGTCTGTTCTGTGTGTTGGGTTCTTTGTCGTTGCATTAAACTCTCACTATACCTATCTCCATCCAGGAATATAAACGAAAATAGAAAGCAATAATCTCTCCGAGACCTGAACATAATGCACCAGCGTGGTAAACTACCGTCTCAGCCAGCTATGGGTTAAATACTTTAAACTGATGTCTTTAAAACAAACTTTGAAACCAAAATGACTTTAATACCAACTGAAATACAACTTAAAATTCCAAATTCTGTGGTATTCAAAATTAGTTTCTAGTGTTTCTATAGATTCTCGTCGCGTCCCTTTGCAAATTGATACTCGGGCTAAATCCACTTGGAGTTTATTTCGAACTACATTCTGAGACAGACTTCGAATCGCACATGCGAAATTTTGTGGAAGGCCCATTGAAATTACAAAAAAAATCAAGTTGTCGCTTTTTCTAAACAATGCATAAGTTTCCCACTTTCCCTTTTTTTTTAACTGTTCATCGAATGATGAGATTATTTTTGTTCATGTATTTTCACAAGCACAATGTTGCTTCCGAGACAACTGCACCCGTATGAAATCGTTTGGCAACATATAGATTGGAATCACAATAACCACATTGAATCTGATGACAGTGCACTTTGAAACAACCATTATGATTTCTAGCACCCAATATTTTCGGCGGGACTTATCAGTCTTGATAAGTCACTTGAATGATATATTTTTCCTATAGAAATGACATCTATGAATGCTTGATCAATTTGAATCTTTACGGCGCGCAACAGCTTCATCTCGTGTGGTGCAAGCTGTGGCTTTAAGAGGCTAGAGGTTATTCATTTCCTTGATCACAGCATGAATGCAAAGAGCTCTTCACTAATACAAAGACCTTCAAAGGCAACTTTGGAACTGATGTAACCTCCAGGCAAGTTTTCGTTTAGATCTGCAAGTAGTACATGAAGAAAAGGTTTCTCTTCTCAAATCTTCAGCCCAGCTTATGAGGTAAATTCGTTATTTTAACTTTACGAACATTTAAGCACCTTCTTCGAAGTGAACACGAATATTTTTTAATTATTTAGTAATGCCTATCACCAAGAACAACACAGTTAGATTCGACTTTCACGTTAAAAAACAAGGAACCATTTTTGAAAACTTCCTACAGGGTTTCGCGGATTCACAGATGATTTGTCCAATCAGAGAGAGAAATGTCGTGTGAACATTTTGGGGTTGCTTAGTAGCCTAGATGTTGCCAAGTAACGTGTTCGATCAGATTACTGAGTGAATATTTAGTGCCCGTAGTTCTGTTGACCGTCCTTTTCAGCTGACATTACCAATTAGGTGGAAATCATCATTGATCAAGACACTCCGGAAAAAAAAGATATTTGTTGTGAAAAACAGGAAAGCTTCCCTGGGATAAGGAAATCACTTTGGCAGAACACAAATTTGACAAACTTGCAACTGTTTCTCAATTGCAATAAATTTTTTCCATCTGCCCAGGAGTCGCCACCAATCAAATGCAAATAGACAGTATTTATTCACTATTTCCTGAATGATCTATCCATTAATTAAATTGAAAATATGAACCTTTTGCGCCAAAAATATAACTATGTTTGTATGGCCTGAGTCTGACATTATAAATCACCTTCTACACCAGTTTCAATTTTCAAAGGATCCATTTTCTCGGTGCGTCAAAGCTGTCCACAGTGGATCAGATAAATCGAACGTCGCAAATTTCTTTCAATTAGTTGGCATATGCTGCTAGGATTTGGAATAACAATCAGGTTCACAAGCTTTCATTATTCAAGGCTACGATAGTTGTGTAAGTTGATTTTTAATTTTGTCTGATTACAGTATTTTTTGGCAGCAAGGAGGGAATAATAATGGAAAATATCAGGAAGAAGAGATAATTTGATCCATCCTCATATCATGGTTGTCTTTCTATAGTTTGCCCTGCAGTTCGTTTTTATGAGTGAATAAATTCGTCAAAGAAAGATTTTTCCCGCCGGCAAATCACTCTCGAATAATCTTAATAACTTGCAATCTACTACAAAGTAGGCGCGTACGCTTTAGGATCTCTATGATGTATTAAAAATCTTGCAAAGCGACTCGTGTCGAATGTGTACACAGCGCTTATCACTTTTCAAGTTCGAACGCGCTGATTTGCATTTATGGACACTTTAAACCTTCAAATAGGGATTGAGACGTCCTGGAAAAATGTAACTTCAAAGAAGGATTCTGATCTCGCGGTGAGGGAAAAACGAGGTCAATCTCAGATATTTTTTTGGGTAAATCAATTTTCTCCGGTTTTCTATGATATCAATCACCTGAAGTAAAGTGGATGTGACCGGATAAGCGCGTCGATTTCATATACATTTCAACTTGACAAGCCGGTTACTAATATCAAACAGCTCAAATTTATTTCGCTGGGTCAGGTGCAATATTAAAAATACAGAAAGTCAGGGATTGTTTCATATTCTGTCCGAGATATTTTTTCAGCAAGTGACTATTCTTGGCCCTTAAGTACTTTGCAAATTTTGAATTTTTATTTCCCCCACAACAAGGCCACTTGAGATTTGTAGCCTAAAAATTTTGTATCTAGGCTGTCAAGCAACATGATGGTTTAGAACTGATCATAGAGGGTCTTCTGTTAGCCAAGAAAATTTAGTTGCGTAGCTCAAAATTAACTTTACGAGTCGTTCGAGGTTGTCGCTATGAAAAGCTGCGAAATTTGTATTTTTAAAAATATAAGAGTTCCTACTTTCTCAGTTTTCCTTGTGAGCATCTACCTTTTTTTTTTTTACTAATGTCTTTCCAGTGTTTTATCTATATTTTGTCTCAGTAGACGTAATTATCCGTAAGACCCCACTTAATCCTGTAATGAAAAAAAATCATCACCCGCTTAGAATATCAGTATGGTTTCATACTAAAGTCGCTATATTTTCTAGCGGGATCACATCTTGAAAAATAGCTGTTATTGATTATATTAAACCTATGTCTCTTTAGAAAGTCTTTTGAGCTGCACCTTTGTTTGTTGTCTCATTGAAAGTTTTGCCTATTAGTTTCATCACGATTTTGAAATCAAAGTTTCTTGTGGGTCTGTAATGTATTGATTATTATTTTCGACAAACGGGGGATAAATTGTTTGGTGTAAATTAATGGATTTCCTAACCGTTTTATTAAAACAGGTTCAAAAATTGAAAAGATCACTGGTGGGGTTAGATTTATTGTTTGGCGGTGATGAACCTCAGAAGTTACATGTATTGAGTATATTATTTTTGCTCGATTTGAGGGAAATAAGAAAATCCACAAACAGCTGCTGAACCGCCTTGAAGACGATCTCATAGTCTAACCTTTCCTGCGTTTGACTTGTAATAATTCCATGTTATCCGCAAGCTTGAGGGCAGACATTTCGTCAAAGGTTAGGAATTTAAGCCTAGTTTTACTCAAGAACTCAGGAATATGCGGGCGCTCTTTGAAGTTGTACCCTAACAAGCGACGCGGTTTCCCGAAACATTCTACGCATGCTACGCAATTTCCTTTCATCCGGCGGGCTTCGATGTTTTAAATTTGACGCTTTTTATCGATTCTACGCCTGCAACTTGTTAGACAATTGTTAGCATTGCGTGCTTGTGTCCACCCACCCGGCTACACTCTCTCATCGAGTTGTCCAGCATTGACTTGTTCACAATTCCCTTCACAAAGAAGAGCGATTAACTATCTCAGTGTATTGTAGAAATTATATGAAATGCAGACCTGGATGGACGTCATCATTCATAAATGCTTTTTCATGGCTTGGTTCAGACAATACTACAATTCAATGAAAACTTTAAAAGTCGTGAGGTCTCTTGTAAATGAAAGAACAATGACGAATGAACAGCAGAATGAAAAAGTCAGCATCGTATACACCGACTCTATCGACAGAGATTTTTTCGACTTGTGATCAACTATCCCGACAATTAGAGAAAATGACGAAAAGTGAGTTTCATAACATCATTACTGGTATAAACAACTTAATCCTGTTTGTAGTAATTTATTGTTTTCAATTCAAGAAATTCTCTGGTCTGATATAAGACAACTTTTATTTTCGGGAGCAAATGTCGTGCAGCACAGTGTACAAAACGTTCGCTATCCGCACCTGAGGGTCATTTGGGCAAAAAATTACCAAGATCTTCCTCTAAGATGCTACAGCGGGAATTTTCAATAAGAACTGATTCTTTCGGGTACTGCTGTTACAATAGAACGCTAGAAAAAGATACCAACGTGGTCATTTCACTCAGTACGCTCATCCAGAACAGAATATTGAAACTCATCAGAAAAGAAAGTTATCGATCAACCAGATTTATACATCCCATTCTATTTTCAGCAAAGCTAATTAGTTAAAGTCGTTCCTACTTATTTTGACACTCGTTTTTAAATATTGTTTACTGGCCAGAAATCGCGACAATCCACATTTGGCGCGGAGCTCGTTAGTAAAAGTGAACAGAAAAAGTGGTTCGAACACAACCTAGGAAATAGACGAAGATAGCGGCTTTTGAAAATGTTTTGCTACTCGCGGCATCTAAATACCTGTCAAACGTGGGTCAACTGTCACAGCAGTGAACATAGATTTAGATTGGACCACTCTAGAAACGGTTATTTTCTTTCAATTAGTTGGCAGTCAATACTCGTCTTTTGTTGGAAGCTTTTGTGTACTCCTCCCTAACCCTGTTTATCCCGAGGCATTACAATCACCCAAGGGATTTCTGTTGCTATTCCGTCGGATGGGTCTGTTATTTTACCAGCATTCAAAACACTTTGTCCAGATTTGGGCTTTTTGTTTACATAGACCATTACAATAAATAGTCAGAGATTAAACCGAGCCGCTCAATCGATCAGAAAAAATGCTATTGTGAAGTCCATCCAGCCATAAAGCGCGGATTTTTGTGCCAGTTTGCTACCGATACCGACAAAACGTCAGAGAAAATGTCTTGAAGTGCATTTGATGACAAAAGAACGACATTAGTGAAAACTGCTTTTCAAACCTTTGTCGGAAGCTCCGTTGGAGCAGCTGGTACAAGAAAATCCGAATAATCAGCTTTAAGTGAACGTGATTGTTATCCAGTAATCACAAAGAGAAATTTGCATAGAACCTGTACATGTTCTATTGTGTCAATAAACAGTCAGGAATAGACTTAGACGCGCTCTTCTCTGAAATTCAGTGCCTTCAGGTATGTTTCTTGTCCATTTTACACTAACATCGCTTGGCTTGTTTTGGTTTACCATTTGTGAGGATTTATTTGCTGCGATACCAAATTCTGGAGCTCTTATTTTGGATGTTGTTTGTCTTAGATTGTAACGACTGTTAACTATAAACACGAAGTAATGGGCATTGAACGCTGCTAAAAAGTCTCCGATTTCTCATTGCTAAGCCGGTGTGAAAATATTTTTTCCACGAACTGGCTTTCATTGCGATAAGCATAAACGGTGAATTTGTAAAGTACCTGTATACCATTAAAAGGATAAATTTCTTTTGATTCCCTACTCAATTGACAGTCATACAACACCGGTTGGACAAAGGCTAGGTTTGAAATTCCTTGGGGTGAAATGAAAGTGAACACAAATAGTTTGTTTTTCGAAACTCGTCATTTCTAAACAAAACTGCAAAATTGAGGTAGTGCACATTGTGTCCATAATTACGTTTTCCTGCTATAGTTTCGTTGCATTTCGAGGAATATTGGCATCTAGTCTTGAAATTGCCGTTTGAAGAGGCCCAATTTGTAAATGTATTTCTCCGACAGATGCACGCCTCTGTATCACGGTTGGAGGTCTTTGCAGCGGGAAAGGTGTAACTCTATACTCAAAAACCACTTTACAGTGTTGTTTCCAACCTCCAGCTTCATGTCTGGTTTTCATGTTAGTTCATTTGGACAAAAATTCGAAAACGATTGGAGGGAGGTGTAAATCTCACGTAGAAATTTCACGCAAATTCTCTATTGACTAATGCATGATTATTTCAAATCTTAGTTTGTTAGGGCAAAGGCAGGAAAAGCACTTAACTTCTGAAAGGAAGCACGCATCCCATTTCCTCTGACGTGCAGCGGAACATTACAGAGAAAACTGGCCTCTGCGTGTTTTTCAACTGAGTTGGAATCTTATTTAAAGGGGAACACGTCTTAAAGAATATTAAGTTGTGCGGTTCGCCTTGGGTGCATGATTCGATTACTTTGGGTCTTTCTCAGCAAAGTATGTCTTACATTGCCAGTGAGTCAGCGTAGTGCTATACATCAACTAATGTTACGTTCCATGCTTATCATCTAGATCTAAGTCGTGGAATGTGATGAAGACTTTTTGAAACCCAACCAGGCAGAGAGGTATTTTTCACTTCAGAAACGATGACGGATAAGAGAAATTCGTAGATCCCTCCCGGGAGCATTTATCAAAACATCAACGGATTAGTGAAGTCAGCGTTGAAACATTCCAGAAAAATTTGCAGCAGCTGATTTTTTACCTGTCAAGACATTAAAAAGCGCGGTGACTTCGTGAACTGCTTAAAAACTTCAAGACGCATCCTGAGAGCATCGTGGAGAAATCTTAAAATAGAAATGGGAGACACAGATAACATGACAATGTCATCACCGAACCACACAGAGACTCATCAGCGATCTATTCTAGACACTCCTGAGGGTAAAGCACAGCTTTCTATTTACGTTCTCACATTTCTGCTGGGTTCTTTTGGGAATGTCCTCGTATTACTGGTGGTTCGAAGTAAAAAACATCGAACCGTCAACGATCTCTTCATTGTCAATCTGGCCATCTCGGACCTTTTAATGATTGGATTCCTACCAGTTTACTCGGCGAAAATTCTGGTACAATTCCACCACAGTACGGCATTCTGCAAGAGTGTTTTTCCCATAGCTACAATGACGTTTTTTGTAAGTATATTCACACTGACATCCATGGCAATCCATCGCTGCTATGTCATCACAAACCCGTTTAAGCCCGAAATGCGAAAATGGAAGATCATGGCTTGGTTGGTTGGCGTGTGGGTTGCGTCCTTTATAGCTGTTCTTCCTCTCGTGCTGGCCATAGAGGGAGGATTACCTGGAACAGCTGATTGCCCCGAATCTTGGCATTCCGATGCTCTCAGAAAAGCTTACACAGCATGCTTGTTCGTGCTGCAGTATTCTCTTCCTTTGGCCGTCATCACTGCTGCGTATATACGGATAGCAGTGGATCTGCTGAAATCAAGCACAGAGAGATTTGGACCAGGGAAAAGTCTCAATAATAATCGGCGTGATGGCAATGCACTGTCGCGTCTCGCATGCAAAGAAGATATCCAGGTATTAAAAACCGTAGCTGTGATCGTGTTAGTGTTTGCAATTTGTTTGTTACCTCTTCAGCTCAGGTGGATGATGTTAGACTTTGGTGGGGAAACCCAAAGGCGCATTGCCGGTCAAGTGTTTGTAAAATTCGACGTCCTCCTCTCAATATTTCATAGCTGCCTTAATCCTCTGGTTTATGGGACCCTCACGAGGCGCTTCAGAAGAGGCTATATCAGATACTTGATATGCTTGTGTCCTTGTTTCAAAGATCGTGTACCCAATGGAACTGCGAGCACTACGGGGTATCATTATCAGGACTGTAGCTCACCTACCAACCAGAATGGTTCAGCTTTGGATCACGCTGAAAGGACACCTCTTGGACGAGAAAGCCCTGAACACGAAACGAAGAGCACTGAAGTGTAACCTGCTTCTTTCATATCCAATCAGAATATGAAACTACAAGTGCGGGGCTGGAAAACCTTCTGCTCGAGGGAGCATTTCTGAAGTCAACCTGTTTGAAAAGGCTTACCAGGGGAGCACTGAACAGAGACTTGCTCTAGTAACAAACTGGCTCATAACGACTTCTAGCATAGATGGCCTTCCTTGTACTACAGTTACATCTCTCGAACAGTTTACTGCGATTATTGCAATAGTAAGTAAAATGAGCTTACAAATAGAGAAAAGCATGCTTTTGTCTCGCAGCAACATTCACACGGAAGAAGATACCTCAGGCTAAATTATCTTTCTTTTATTGCTCAGCGCTGATCTTAATAGTGATTCAATTCTTTATTTTAGAAGAACTACGTTTTTTAGGTTTAAAAATACACAGAAATTTGCATGTGACGGAATCACGATTTCATCGAAAAAGTTTTTACATGCGTATCTTAGATGTCTTTAATTTTTTTTTTCTTTTATTTCACCATGCTTTGAAAAGGCTATATAACTTAGGAGTAAAATTATTCGCATCTTGTACTGTTTTCATTTGTTTTTCATCGTGTTTCATGATAGTTTATTCTTCAAATCTTTGACAATATTTGTCTGCCAACTAAGGAGAGAATTCTGAACATTTTACCGTGGAACACCTCTAAAGCTTATAAGTAAGTAACTTGGAAACTTTTTTATGAGTGATATATGCTCAAGTTATTGCCAATAACATGGAATAGACGTGTTTGATTATAATTAGAGAGAACTAATATTTTTAACATGAAGGAGTAATTTAGTCTTAATTTGATACCCTATCTACACCTATACTGGTCAGCGAGAAGAACAAAGGTCACCTTATGCAGAAAACAAGAGCACTTTCCTTTACAACTCGCTGGCACTGCATTTTTATATTTTAGTGTGTAAAATGGCATTTACCTTAATTGAAAAATTATATTTTAAAACTGAGTTTGCTCATGAGTCGGATTAGCCGCGACATTTTGTAATAAATTTCTTGTATACACGGTATGTAAAAGTGTTTTATTGAATTATTTGCGTTATGTTGACACCACTGATAAAAAAGAAAGTATTGAGCATACATTTATCTAAATTTATCGGTATGATGGCTTAATCTGATTTAAGAATTAACCAGAGGTTAGGTTTCTTCAACTTTCTAATGCTCCACTTAGATTGGTTGACGATTATTCCAGCATTGTAAGCTAACCACTTGTGGTTTGTGGTTTTTTCATGCAATCAGTCTGGTTCGCGCTTAAATTGTCATCACATTTTCTATAAATTCGAGGTTATAAGTATTTTCATCTGGGGGCGAAGAGCTATGGCATGGGAACGTTTTACCTTCGTACAAGCCATTGCAAACCCGCATTGTCCTGCTCGGAGCCTTTTCATGAATCGTTTGGCTACCAAAACACCGCAAGAAGATTGAAATTGCTCACTTTTGAAATCATGCAACACTTAAAATTAAAAAAAATCCCTACTCTTTACACACTGTTATAAATAAAAAAAAATGCCTCTAAATACAAAACAAACTGACATCCGCTTGCTTCCTTTATTCCCGTCCCTGTCGTTCTTGATGACCTGTAGGTTTTGAAAGACTGCTGCAGTTGATATTTGGTTTCTGGCAATTTACATTTGATCGCCAAGAGACATTTAAAATTGTCATTTCCCACAGGTCGACTTAGCTCTACCGCCGTTAAGACGAGTGCTGATATCTTACATACTGTACAGGTTTGTATTTCCGGTATTTCGTGATCCGTCATTGACGATTCGATATTATGGACAAATTGATTAATTACTGGGCTAATTAACGAGCGAAACTTCGAGAACAAGATGTTTCGTTTTGTTGCTGCTCTTAATCGATAGCGTGTGGAACACATATCGACACGCACTAAATTAAATCAAATTTACATTGGAAACTTTAAAAATTGTCAGGTATTTCATTGATATATAAAATGTTTTTACAACGTTCATAACAAATTCTATGAGGGAAAACACTTATATTCCCGGTAGTAATTGGAGTAGAATCCTAAAGTTACCTTTTGTCCATGGTGTCTAGAAGTTTAGGAACTGAAAACACAAGGATGCAATTATAAAACAAAAACGGATTCGAGGAGTGATGATAAACAAGTACGTCGTGTTAAATCTCCTTTCGCTTCTCGATAGATAACATCTGGGCAGATTTTAACTGTTTTGACTCTCAAGGATTGGATAAAAATTCACCTGCCACCAGGCATTCGTGGTAACAAAGCGTTAAGTTGTAACAGCTGCCAGGGAAATAAGGGAGTATGAAATTCAAGGTTATGTTTTATCCTGTCCTCTTCTCAGAGCAAGTTCTGCCTTAAAAAAAAGGCTCAGTGCGTTCTCACGAGGGAGATAAAAGGCTCGAAGTACCAATGACTACGTATCTGATTAAAGACTAGATTGGATACTCGATGCGATTATACGTAAATAGAGCTGGTTATCATAAGCTCTTTACGACTTCGTAAAAATTGATAGAGCTCAATCATGTTTAAAAGACTTCTTCGTCAGTTTCAGAACTAGGTCATGCTTCAACCACTAATTGATAATTATGTAAGAATTGCATAACCTTTGATGAAAGTTTTACTAATAATTGCACATGGCCGTCAGTGTTTTCGCTTATTGTTGAATTGTTTCGAAACACCGTTTTTTCACAACTGTTGAGTAAGCAGTTGGTGATTTACAATGTCCGTTAAAAGATCTCCGCTATGAACTTTTTCATCTACGTTGGCGATAGAACAGTCAAATGATAAATCTAAGTGGATTATTATCGAGCACCATTTGATTTGACCTTCGCTGTATTGACTAAGCTGACCACGTTTATGTGATAATGACCTACGATAAGAATCTGTAAGAGAAAGGCAAATTCGTGGACAAATGTTTTGTTCGGACCTAATCGAAAGAAAAAATACAATCATAGTTAACCTTGCACTCTTTCACCATATGTGGCAAACTTATCGAGATTCTGATCAATATTATGACAATGTTATGAAAAAATGTCATTTTAGAGACATGTGCATCCAATCTGTTCTTTGCCAAATTTTTCTCCCCTCTTTTGTCACAACAATGTGAACCAGAAACTCCAACTCGACAGTCTTGCTGCGTAGTTAGAAAACGATGGTGGTTTAGAAATTTTCCTCCGCCTTACAGCTTAATATACTTTAAAAACCCAACTGACTCAAGTTTTATTAATAGGAACGATTTTTCTCCCTTAGATAGTTCAAGTCATCAGGGAATTGAACAATCAGTTTGGATTCTAAAGTTGCTTTATTGACATACTTTTATGTTATTTTATCTACAATAATAGATACTGATGTTCTTTTTTCTGCGTGGGTTTTTGATATACTTCTATATTAATATCACTTTACAGGATTCCACCAAGAGAAAATAAAAGGTCCTATCATTTTGTCTTGATTCCACAAAACAACGAAAAAAATACAATTTACTCCTTCTTACCAAGAATTAAGGCGCAAAATGCTTTACACCAGCAAAGGCACATTCATGGCTGTGTTTCTGATGAAAACAGAAACGACAATCGGCTTCTTTCCACTGTGATCCGCTACGTGCAAGAATTAAGGTGGTCTTGTTTCCAGCTAAACTTTGTTTACATGCCTCAGCAAGACCTCTGAAGGTTCGTGCAGTTATGTTTAAGTTTCCTGTGCTTCACAATGAATTCCTGAGACATTTAAAGACTTGTTACATCACCTGGATCACAGATGCTTTTGCTGACTATAAATATGTACTACCACATGAAACTCATTTACGCTCCCTCTGAGGTGATGATTTCATTTCATTTGTACTCGGCATCAGCAAAGTAGTTAAAAAGGTTTCTACACCATACCTCGAACAGTTACCGCTATTTGTAGAATAGCTACTAATTCTTCACTAACAGCAACATTTTACTAACACCACGAACGCCAAGATGTTAACTGCAAGAAAGATATCCAGTTTCTCGATTTCAAATATGTTTTAGTAGAAATGTCAGACGCCGGTTCATTTTCTTAGATAATACGCATCAAGCAGGTCATGGGAAATCGGAATAGGAGAGAATACAAATACATAACTAGGGGAGACAATATCATTGTACAATTCTATACGGATCAAAATTCCTTCTATTGGTTTTGTGTCGATTAGAAAAAAATGAAATAAATAAAGGCTCTAACAGTGCATTCATACTACAAATGGTTAAAAGTTACCAATAGATGCACAGAGGACTGGTTAAGAACAAAGATATCTCTCAGACATCACCTCACAATGCGATTCACTTGATCAGAGGTAAGAAGATCAGTACGATTAGAATAAATGACACGAAGATGACAGTCCGTACTTCATCTTCACGTCATTTACTGCGACCAAGTTTTACAGAAATCAGTGTTTGAATAACTATCGCTGTACATCGATATGACGGCCAAAGATTCCCGGTAAAGTTTGATGGTGATACTCAAGCGACAGAATAATAAGAACTAAACCATGGCTGAAAATAGAGGTTTCTTCATATTATTGAGTGTTATAATTGTTTAGTCTCACGGTAAACTGTCTCAGGTTGCAAATTCACAAGTTGATGACAAGGTTGACCGCTCGCAGTTAACTAAAACTAGTCGAGACGAGCCGTGGTTTAACGCGTAACAGAATCGATTACAACAAATAACGCTACCCCCCCCCCCCCCCCAGGGTAGCGTGCTTGGCCCTTTACTGTTTATCAACTACATAAATGACTTACCTTTGGCGGTTCAAGGTTGCGGTGTCGAGCTATATGCTGAAGATACCCTTATCCATTTTGCAAGCAAGTCAGTCCGTGAAATTCAAGCTCAGTTAACGAGTGGCCTAACTAATGTTCCAAGCTGGCTCTATGTTAATTTCCTTCTAATACTTAATCTTGAAAAAACGAAGATTGAGCTTATTGGTACCCATCAGAGGACCGCATAGGCTGACAGTCTAGCTATAGAAATCAGTAACACGCGTTTAGAAAGGGTTAACAGGTTCAAATATCTCGAGGTCCTTCTAGACAACACTCTACCTTGGAAGGACCACATAGAATATACTGGTAACAAGATCTCGTCTCGAATAGGTGTTTTGCGTCGAGCGCGTAAGGTTCTCCTAAGCCAACTTGCCAAATGCTCTACAGTACTATAGTCTTGCCATTGTTCGATTGCTGTTCGCCTGTCTGGGACAGTTGTGGGGCTGGGAACAAAGCCTACCTAGATAAGCTAGATAGACGTGCCCCATGTATTATTGAAGGTCGGTCAATCGGGGCTGAGGAGTTAAAATCAACACTTGGCTGGCCCAGCCTACAAGCACGCAGAAATTGTCTCAAATGCGTTTTAGTCCATAAATTTATTTACGGATTAGCGCCTTCTTATTCACTTTCAGAGTTTAGGCACGCGCACTTTTTCCATGGCTATAACACCAGAAGTCGTGATTTGCTGCGCCCTTCCTTCGCAAAAACTGCTAAGTATCTAAGTATCTAGGGAGCTTCAGAATAAACGGCACTCGGACTTTCAACACCCTTCCGAGAAACATTAGACAAGTAGAGACATTCAGCGAATTAAAAATCAAGCTAAATCGCCATGTTAAATAGTAACGCCTGCGGTACGTGTTGCTTTTATAACTTAATTATTTGTCTAATTTTTAATGTTTTAATGTCTTTGTTTTTGTATTTTATCAGGGCTCAATTTAAGCAAGCTCTGCTAAATTGGATGCTCCTGGATAAATAAATAAACAAAAAATAAATAAATAAACAAAAAATAAATAAATAAATAAGCGATTGACTAACTTTATACCTTTAACAAAAAAAGAATCTCCGATAACTTGATCGACCGCTGTCCAGGTCTTGTTCAGTGAAATTTCGATCATGAGTTTTTGTATTGTGTTGAATCGAATATTTCTATCATCAAATGCAATGATATGTTTCCTAGCAGAAAACCTTTAAACCTCCTT